CAGGGACCAAAAGTTATACCAATGAGAAATCATGTCTCCATTTATTGACTGAAAAAAGTTATAAGTTACAACAAAATATGGTCTCCAAATTCTAAATCATGTTCTGTTCTCATCATGCTTCCACAAGTCTATATTTGGCAAAAGGAACATGACTATGAAATGCTAATCCTTTGAGTTACTTGTGCAAGTATTATATGGCTAATAGCCAGTGAACTTGATACATACCATAAGCTGATCTCCCACTACCTCTTCCTATGGTCAGGTCCTCATTAAGGGCTAACCGAATTTCAGGATTTCCAGTGAGATAACTCTTCATTTGAATGGTGCCATCAATTTCGGACGTCAATATATAACCCTGTTTGTTGAAAAAAAAAAAGACTAATAAATTTGAATAAACAAATAAAGTATTTTTCTTATCTAAGTAAAAAATCTTCCATGAAAAACAACAACCAATCCAGTTCAGTGGAGCATGAAGACATTTAATGATCTCAAACATGAGATCTTAACTGCACATTGTTAACAACTTGACCCAGTTAATAGCTGCAGAAAATGCTAATAAAACTCGCTAATGTTTAAGCACATGAAAAGGAGGAAAAGAAAACCATATGTAGTGACAAGGTAACAGCAAAAACAAAAATGCAGCAGACATATTACATGCATATGATGTAATGTTATCAATGATCTGTAAGGATTTTTTGTCTGAGTCACTGCTTGCTTTTATCAATTGTTATTTGCAATAGCTGCATGATACACTGGAACTGAAATATCAACCAGATTTTCTCAAATGAATTAAATAATACTTACACTGGAGCTGAATGTGACACTGATTTTCTCAATTATATCCACAAATATTTCTTCCCTCTTCCTACCTCCAGGTTCATTTGCCACAACAGATTTCGTTACAGCTGTACCTGGCATCCTTTTGGTCCCTTGCTGCATTTGATTCCAAGTACTAAGAATCAATTATAACTAGATGCTAGGTACAATCATTATTAGGTGTATTCGGAGTATCACTTGATTTACACAGATTAAATCATACCATAAAAATCGCAGCAGGGCTCAGAGGTTGCAAACGGCTGGCATCAACCACAATTGGCTCATTAAATACATAAGACTTCAACACTTCAGTGGATGTTGTCTGTACATAACCAAAATCCTGGAACAAGGATACAGGAGTTTAAATATCATATAAGCTTCCCAAATACTTGAGCACAGGCTAAGTAACACGTCAAAATTTCATGGGAAGGACATATCTATTACACTTAAAATGGACTAACATTAACATATGATACATCATGATGCAAGAGCTGCAAAAAAAGATATCCAGTCAAGTAAATGAATTTTTGGATTGAGCTGCATATGGGTAAGAGAATGTCACTTAAAAAACTAATGGGCCAATAAGGGCTCTCCAACTGCAAAAACACACTAGATGCATTGAATAAATTATATAATTTCTGAACTCAAGAGCAAGGACAAAGAGCTAAAAGAAAATCTCCAGGAACACAAGTATGAGAATGTACAGATTGGCTTGGGTTCCACATTTAAATCTACTGACTGAACAGTACAGAATATGAGGAGAGAAAGCAGCAAATGTTCATATATCCTGTAGAAACATGCCATCAAAAAGGGATAGAAAGCATGATGAGAAAACTTACTATCACTTCATCAAGCAATTCATAGACAAGCACAAAATTTCTCCGCAGAGAATCTTCATTGAGAATGCCAAGGTAATCCTTGATGACGCGAGCGACCCTTTGCAAGAGTTCCAACACCAGAGAAGGTGACACATTAACTCTTGTGGTTGCAACAAATAATAATCCAACGACCTTTACATGAAAGTAGTTCACCCCATCCACATTCTATCAATAAAACAAGAAATTGTGACAGGACATTAGCATACTGACTTTAGCTGAGATATTTGTTATCATAAAGAAAAATACTCTTAAAACTACATCAAAAGAAAAAAAAGCTAAAATACTGTAATAAATAAATAAAACTGACAAATAGCAGCATATAGAGAAATTATGACAACCAAATATGGACTGTTTGGAATGCAATGATACAGAAGTAGAAGCCAAAGCATAGATGCCAAGAGCTCCGAGTCTGAACAAATAATCAAGAAGCTATACGATCAACATTCTTAACTTTTCCTAGCCGATGGTATCCCAAATTTCACTTAATAGTTATTACAAACTCTTCTGAAACTAAATAAGATAGCATTTGCTAAACTAAATAAGCCTTTACTAGACTGAATTAGGAAAAAGAAATTCTCTACTAGAGAAAGACTAAGCTAAGGCAAACTGTTGGGATATCTCACATAAGAGGTGCAGTAATAAAATAAAATTTATTTCTCTCTCTTTAAAAAAAAAATTATACGTACATGTATACCAGAAAGAACTCTACACATTTTCCCATAACAAAAAGCTTATGACACAGTTCAGAATTAACAAACAAGGCATACGTTCATTGGCTTAATATGTTCATACCATAAATGGATATGAAAAATACACTTCCAAACATTATTCAGAAACATAATACCTACAAAGACAGGCGGTGCCTCTTCGTCTCCATCCTCCTTCCAGAACTTCACTTTACGGAAAAATATTTCAGCACTTCCTTTTGCTACTTCACCACGATCTGCAAAATGCAATTTAATTTAACATAGAATAAAACAATGCAAAATCCAGTTCCCAAGTCCTCATACACAAACTCCCTCTCATTGATTAATAAATTCCTGAAATGCAACCCTAACTGCTAGACCAGTGAGATGTTACAATTAAGTGAAATATTTTTAGATCACGAGTAAACTTCAAAATGCGGAAATGAAGAACTAGCTGCTGGATCTATTGCATTAAAATTAAAAATCGAACTGGCTATGAATAGAAACGAATGAAATTTACAAATTATCAAAGGTTATACAAGATTTTATAATAGATCCATCAGATAGGAAAAGAGAGACTCACAGTCGCGAAAGACAATATTATCGCCTCGCTGTGAGAGAACAAAGAACTGAGAGATCATGATTAATAGCTGCTCTTCTTCCTTGAGATTTCCTCTCTCTGTCTCTGTAAACTAAGCTTGGGCGATTTGTTCTTGTTGTTTGTAATCTGTAAAAGCCCAAAACGAAAACCAAAAAGTATCTGTAATTATAATTCGTAATTTAATAAATTTAATGCTCAAAAACGACCATTCTTGGGTCGCTAATGCGTTGTCGTTTGACTATTGCTTGCAAAATGGGCAAAACCATTACGGGTACGAAATACGATGGACTGATGCGCAAGCACGAGGCAACGCAACGAAACAAACCGTTTGATGGTCGAACGACCGATTCGCACACGTCCTGTCGTTCGAGGGCTTTAAACCGAGTTTATCTTATCAATATCAATATCACTCGTGTTAAAATCCGCGCGATGCGCGAACTAATATTAAATGATAAAATAATTTTTTATAATTTCGACGTAAACATAACATGACATGTTTTCTAAGTGATAGTATCATAAACACGACATGTGCTTATACAAACACAATACTTATTTCTAAAAAAATAGTTTTACTTATTAATATTAATTTAATTTTTTTTCCTCCTCCTATGTGATATTATCTGAAAATATAATTATTTTCCCTTATAATATGTAAGATGTATAGAGTAATATTAAAAGATAAAATAATATTTATAAAATTATTTAAAAATAGTAAAATTATATAATGAAACGATAAATTGTATCTTATTGAAATATGCTGAAAAGCTGCGATGCCAATATATGTCTTATTACGTATCATGCAAAATTTTTCATAAAATATGCAATAGTAAAAGTTATGCATGGTATGACCTACATAAAAAAAATGCATACACATTATTAATATACTTTTCAACAGTGATAGTAATTTTGAGAATTTAACTAATTATATTGAAATAAGAAATTAAATATTTTTATTTTATGTTTATGATTTTTATGATTTATTATAAATGATTATTTAATATTTTTATTTTATGTTTATGATTTATTATAAATGATTATTTATTTATTTAAAATATTAATATATTATTTATTTAGTATGCTATGTTCTGAACGTGTGGATCTCTTACTTTTTTTTATAAGATTATCGTGTATCTCGTTTCCATGCAACATAACTCCTAGTAAATAATTGTTGTCATTACACTTTATCTTTTTACAACCTAACTAAATAATTGTTATCCTCTTCATATTGTAGAGGCTTACACTTAGATTCCATATAATGCAACCAAAACCTAAAAGATAATGGTCCAAACACAGTACCCATGAGACAATGACCAGATATTCAAGTATATAATTTTGGTAAAATATTCTATTTCATTTCCCTTTTCATGCACACGCACTCCATAAGTGATGTGAAATCTGAAGAATTACATTGGATATTGATGTGTGTATAGTATAATTTAAATATTTTAATATAAAGTGTGTCGAAGCTTTTTATCTATAATTTCTTACATTTTTTTTAGTTTGTGTTTGAGAAAGTCAGTAAGGTTTCGAGTCATCATAGACTAAAAATCTCCTTTACGATAGTTTTGCAAGATTTTATGTTAAGATTATTATCGCTGAGCTAGTTGGTCATGGGTATTGCTCAATCCAAGAATGATTAAAAGCTATTGCTCCAAGTTGTTTTAAGAGAAATTTTGCTATTGCAAATATTTTTTTAAGGATTAGGATCCTAATATATTATGAGATTTATTTTGAATTAAAATTTCGCCTCAAAAATATGAGATATGAGATTTCAATACGATCTTCAACCGTTTATTTATCCTTATTGCCATGAAAGTTATCGTCAATTTTGATAAATGTTATTTGAATATAAAGTTGTGGTGTTTTTATTATCTCTTTTACTTTAACTCCCAGAAAACTCTTTCTTAATAAACAAAGCATTCGTAGTTATGTTAAGGGTGTTTGGTAACCCAGAAAATATATGAACACCGAGGAAAATAAAGAAAAGGACGATAGAAGAACCGAAATTTAAAGCGAATGTAGGAAAAAGAGTATACTTTGTCATTACTTGTCTTTTTCCATAAATACAAACAGATATGCAGTAGCCTGTATCTAAATGTCAACTCAGCTACTTGCACATCAGCAGCTCCATAAACATTTAATCACAAGTTGAAGTAACTGAAATACTATGCAGGCTATTAAAACCTATTACAGCAATGTTTATTACAATATAGTCCCTTGATTCCCAACAAGTCGTAATTGATAATTGTTGATATACACACAAGACCTTTATCATTAAAAATCTACATTTACTGTCTAAAAAGGAACATTAGCAGTTAAAAATGATAAAATCAATATGATCTTTGCAATAGCAGAACATATTTTGTGGAATGCAAACAAACTCAGCACCAGAACTCTGTGTCTTTTGCTGAGAATCTGTTGCCTTCTATGAAATCGAGGGTCCATTTCTCAAATGTACAATTCAAGAAATCATAGTATCCTCCATGAACAAATAGCATCTCTTTCCTCACCCTGACTTCAATCCAGGGATATGTTAACAAGTTAAGCAATGAACGGTTGATAGATTCCTGTGCCAAAAGAATTCCTAGTAAATTATCTCAAGAATTGTGAGATTGCAAGTTGAAATTCCAGTCAAAGCCAAATTAAAGTCTTTGTCCCTAAATATATTTCTTCATTGGAACTACAATTAGTTTCAGCAGAGAATCTTGGAATCATGTCCCATCATGATAAAGTGGATGAAAATTGAAGTCTTAGTCAATAAATATATTTCTTCATTGGAATTGCAATTATTTTTAACAGAGAATCTTGAATCATTTCCCATCACCATAAAGTGGATAGGTATGGAGAACAAACCTTCTCACAGTATTTGCATTGTTGATCAAAGCTAAGGCCACTAGCATCAGCTTCTGTTCTTAACTTGGCAATATCGGCAGTGGCAACCCATTTCTCAATAAAGCTACATGAGAAATGTAAAGCAGTAAGGAAGTTATCGTCGAGAAAATTCATCGAGATTTTAGTAAGGTAATCTCCAAATATCTATTAATAACAAAAGAAGGAAAAAGGTTGTGAAATAAAACCTTGAGTTCTTTTCATCTTGAGTACTCATGAGAGCTTGAATTCCTGCACAGTTGCTGTGGCCAATGACAAATATATTTTCAACCTACAAGAATTTAACAACCATATTGCTTGCTCAAACATATAGAAGCACTTGATCTTTAAAACAACGATATGTTGGATAATTTGCGAGGAAGGTAGTTCTTGCATCAGCTTAATATATGGCCTCAAGAACACAATTTTAATTTGCATCCTTCAGAAAGAAAAAAATTTAGTTTATTTTCAAAGGACAACAACTTACTTCAAGAGTATTTACAGCAAACTCAAGTGCAGCATTTGTTTCTGTTGGTCCATTCTATAAAACGGAAAAAAAGAATTGAATTATGTAACTCAGCTATGCTTGATAGCCAATATTGGTATTAAGCATAATTGTCATACCTCAAGTGGAGGCACAATATTTGCAACATTTCTAACCGTAAAAGCTTCTCCAGGTTGAAATCCAAGAATGTTAGATGGACAAACCCTAGAGTCTACACAAGCAATCACCATAAACTGTTCAAGTTGTCAGTTTGAAAAGAACTAGACAAATTTTCCTTGCATAAAATTAACAAAACACAAACAGAATCCAAGAAAGGAAAACAAAATATTTACTTCTTTAGCATATTAAGAAGCACCGAATTAACAGAATCAAGTTTGTTAATCACCTTTGGAGATTGCAATTCAGCAAGATTTTTAAAATGCTCAGCTTCCTTTCTGATGAAAAACTGATGTTAGGAAACAGAATTGTTCAAAGCAATTTCAATTAAATTCCTGCGTTTGCTTGTACTTTAACTTCTACTTACAAATATTTATACTGCTTGAAATTCAGAAACCTTTGTTTCATCTCATCAAACGAGTTTTGCCTGCCACCACTTTTGGGCACATTCTGTACTTGAACACTTCTATCTTCCTGAACAAGTCCTAACGAACTTATTGAAGCATCCACTCTCAAAATTGGATTCTCTCTACAAAGCATTATATAAAGAATTAACATAACAAGATAAATAATTCAACCCAACAAGCAAACTTGAATTTAAGTTTTATTCCTAGTAAACGTACTAAAGAAGGGTCAAGCACATGAACTTACTTATGCGAAGAGGGAAATCCCAATCTAACATCATTAACTTTCGCTAGCTTCTCCTGTAATAAGAGAAAGAAAACGAGAGTACTTAATAAGATATACTTCTGCAAGACAATTAATTAAGTCAAGGAAATAATTAATAAAGTAAAGGCCAAAGGAACCCACTGAGGCAGAATTAAGCCAATTTCTGGGAAAACCATCGATAGCAGAAAAGGGTGAGCCATGAAATCCCCATTTTACTGAAACATGTCTGAAAGCAACTACTGCTGTAACAATCGAACCAGTTCTCAATCCTGTAATATGCAAGAAAACAGAACTACTAAGAATTTGAAGAAACAGAAAAAGAAAGCAATAATTAAACTAACAGCTTAATAATTACGTGTTTGCCAAACCATCTCCGGCTCGGGCTCCGATTCCGGCGTCGTCTAATCATTTGGAGCGGTTATGAGCTTGAGCTTCAATATAAACGTTTTGTTTTATGGTTTCGTAACGCGCTTGACATTTACGCAGACGAGGCAAGCTTATCCAAATGTATGGCTCTCTTCTTATCCCATTTTTGTGGGAATATGATTGGGATATTCATATGTACAGCTCAACTTTTCTCTCTTTTTTATTCGAACTTTATAAAGAGAACATGGGAATATTTTTAGGATTGGAAAGCAAAGCATGCTTGAGCTTGGTCCCCCAGGGCCAGAAGGGCCTCCTAGGAATGGTATATACTTTGCAATTTGGACCAGGACAAGTGCAATGCTATAAATCAAACCAACCTTAATCGATCATTGATTTAGCGATGGCCAATCAAACCGTAAACCGAATCAATTTCAATTAGTCAATTCCAAAATTGTGTGCTCACCTCTAATTGATTCAGGTCTTATTTTCTTTTTAAATTGCAATTTATTTATTTTTTAATGTTTTGGCTTAAATTGTACCAGATGAAATTTATCAGTGGCAGTTTATTTTATTAAAAAAATTACTGTATGAATAAATTTCTGGCAGCTGAATCAAGAGGACCCCTTGTTGGATTAGTTTTGGATAGGTTTTTTTTTTTTTTTTTTTTTTTTATTCAAAAACTTACTGTATGAATAAATTTCTGGCAGCTGCCATCAAGAGGACCCTTGTTGGATTAGTTTTGGATAGGTTTTTTTTTTTTTTTTTTTTTTTTCATTTTAGTGCACAACTGTTTATGTAATTTAGAAAAAGAAAATTTGCTTTCGAAATCTATTTCCTGCCTTTAAAAATTTGGTCAATGTTATCCCCCTTTTTTTTTTTTTTTTTTTGGTTTTTCTAATAAAGAAGACTCAATAAACAATGAATAGCATATCAAAATGAGAATTGCTTCGCTATCTATCCAAAAAAACTAAATCAACTTTTTTTTTTTTTTTTTGGTTTCTATAAAGAAGACTCAATAAACAATAATAGCATATCAAAATGAGAATTGCTTCGCTATCTATCCAAAAACTAATCAACCCCATTAACCAAATCGTAACCCCGAAGCCGTTTATTCCTTTGGACCACCTGACCCAGCCCAGAGCGCGAGACCCGATTCTCCACAACAGCCTTTAACGCTCTTCTCAAAACTCCTACATCCTCCTCTCCGCCACCGCCACCGCCACTACCCCATTGCAACACCACCACACTTCTAGTCCGCCCACCAACCGTCATCATCTCAGCCTTAACCGCCCTCGCTTTGACAGACCGGATCGCCTGCGACAAATCCCGGTTCAACCCGGGCCTATCCTCACAACAAACGCTCACTCTCATCGTCTTGGTTTCACCATCGCAATAACTCAAAATCGTCTCGTCAGATTCTCCCGGAAACGGCCAGTACTTCTCACTCTCTGATTCGCTGCCACAGCAACTGTCCCTGTCCTGACGCGCCACGTGAGCCGCTTGCTTCCTTAGCTCCTTCACGTGATGAACCACCTCCGCCAGCAACGAGGCCTTGTCTGTCTGTTCATATATAGAAACCAAATCGGAAATTACATCCATACCCTTCCGGTTTAACAAAATCAACAATTATGCATATAACGAAACCAAACCAACTAACCTTAGTGGAGCTAGGAAGAAGAGTACGAAGGGTGGAGAGATGAGCGTTGATACGCTGTCTACGTCGCCTTTCAGCTTCCTTATGACTCTTGCATGCCTCGGTTGATTTCTTTTCCAATCTTGATGATGAACTGAGGACGGACTCACCAGCACCGTCCATTTCCATGACGTTGACTAAGGTTGGTTCTTGAACAAAACGGTTCTGGCTGTGATCAAAACCATAGTAGGTTTGAAAAGGAAGCATTTGTTGAGAATAAAAACAAGGTAAGGAAGAAAAGTTGCAGAAAGAAGAAGAGAAAACTGGAAAAATGAGAGTAGAAAGTGGAAGTTTTTATTAGTACTAGAAGAAGACTGAAAGTCTTATATAATGAGGAGTAAACAGAGACAATAATAAGGCTTTTTACCACTAAGAATGTAAAAGTGAAGAAAGGGTGAATCTTATTGGGCGTTGGAGGACAAATCAAAGGACTGATGAGTGGTTTAGTGGAAGTGAGAACTGTGAACCGTACACTCTGGCGAATGCCATGTCAAGATATATGCAAATGTCAAATGGTGCAAATGCAATTCATAACTTTTCTTTTTCTTTTTAAGCCTTCCAGCTCATCAGCTCAATTAATCCAAATTTACATTTTATAAGTCCACATAAGACGACAAAGTGTTTTTTATCGACAAAATATTAATTTGGGAGGTAATCGAACTTTAACCTATTCCTCAAATGTATTAGAAAGATTATTAGAAAGATACTCTGGGATGAATGTAAATTTAAGCAAATTTCTCCTACTCTAAGAATAAATGACTGCAGTTGGTTGGTTGTACGAGATGCGAACCCGCCTGTCAAATAGATTTCTAGGTAAAAATACAACTTCAATTCATAAAAAAATATTTTGCTAGAAAGATGAAAAAATCTTTACGCTTTACAGTTTAAAGAATTACATCTCTCGATTATACCAAAACGATAAAGTGTTTTCTCTTGCATATTTAAAGAGATCCAATACTCATATCTGATTAAAAAAATTAAAATAAATTTTCTTTATAAAAATATAAATTAGTAATTACCAAAAATAGATAATGTTATTATTTAAAAAAAAAAAAAACTAGTTAATTAATTAGCTTAATGATTCAGAATCTCAATTAGAACATTTGACTTAATCATGAGGAAGTACCAAAATCCAGAAGCAAGAAAACAAATAAGAAGGTCATCTATTGTGGACAGTAGAAAACGTACAATATAAGTTGTAATTCATAATCATTCGACAGATTTACTCTAATTAATTTGCACGTTGAAGGACAAATTTTCACTTGTAGTATAGCTTAAAAGCCTTTTTTTCTTTTTCTTTTTCTTTTTTGCCATTTTAATACATACAAGGATTTAATTATTAACATTTGTCCTCTATTTTTTTTTTGTTGATTCTTTGCATATTGGTCAATTAAATTAAAAAAATTATAAAAACAAATCACTCTTCTCGAAAAATTTATGGAGATGCTCTTTCTATCAGCATGTAATTTTTATTTTACATTCTAAAATTGTAAATACTGGTAGATAATATTTTAAGTTCCAAATTCCAATATTCTCACATGGCATTCATGCAGTATGGTGTTCCTGAGTTTTTGTCTTATACTAACATTTTCTTTTGTTTAGTTTTGAAATAATCTTAATTCTTTTCAATTATTATAAAATTTTTTATCCTAACATAAAAATAAATTATTAACTATTAAATTTTAAAGTTATATATAGTCTAATTAATTTTTGAGGAAATTGAAAATATCAAATTTAAAATTTCTCCTATTTATTTTTTCCATCGTTTAATTTTATATATCATTTAAAATTTTTACACAGTAACTAAAAAAAAAGTAAGTGCATCACCTAAATTATAATAACATAATCCTCAATTTTATTAAATTATAATTTATCTCATCTAATATATTACTCCACTTTCAATCATTTTTTCTTCATTGATCTGGTAATAAAAATAAAAGAGAGAAAGAGGTAAAGATGGATCTTAGAAAAATTTAGAAAATATTTATTGGATTTTCTAGAAATAAAAGAAAAATTGAAGAATTTCATTAATCTTTTTAAAACACAAATATTTTTTTACAAAATAACTCCTTTTTTATTGAAAAAAATGGATAAATTATTATTAGTATCAATCAAAAGGACATCATGAATAATAGACATGAACAATAGACAAAAGATTTAAGACTCATCCCATTAACTCAAATATAAAATTAACAATCCGAACAAAGACACGAACTACTTGATTTGCTGGCTTTCTGGTAAAAATAGAAATAATCCCACAATCAACTAATTTCAAAAATCCAAACTTTCATGACCAAATTAGCAACAACCTATTACCCAAGCTTTTAAAGTTATGGCCGAACCTGATTTGCCCCAAAAAAAAAATTGGCACTGTCAATCCTGTCCTTATAATGTGTATATATGTGTCCATAGTCCTTTACACAGTTGCTAGCTTACTCATCACAACAAAGCTGTTAATGGGGTGAGTCCTAATTCCATAAACAACACTAATTAAAATAATTAAGCTGGTACTTAATTGAGAAAGCGAAACGTGGCAGAGTCATTTTCACGACGGCAGAAGATTACTATATAAGCACCCATACGGCGGCGCCGACAGCTTTTCTGTAAGAAGAAGTTGTAAGAAAAGGGAATCAAAAGGGACAAGAGCGATCATGCCCCGACAACCTCTTTTGCCCACCATCATTTCGCTTGCTTGTTTCATTTTCACTTTCACATTATTAATAATATACACTACGTACTGTCCACACAGTTAAACCTTGCATTATTGACTGTAGCATTTACCTTTCGTTTACACTATTATTTACTGGTGTTATTAATTTGGATTTGGATTTGGATTTTCATCTGTTCCAACCAGCAGCATCACTCTTTTCTGGAATTTTCATTGCATATATTTTAGAAAAAAAAAAAAAAAAAGATCCTTGATTTGATTTTCGATCTGTTCCACCAGCAGCGATCACTCTTTTCTGGAATTCATTGCATATATTTTTAGAAAAAAAAAAAAAAAAGCTGTTTTCTGCTTCTGGAAATTGGGGACCCAACAAATAGTGACTAATTAATTACTATTAATAAAAAAAAAAAAAAAAAAGCTGTTTCTCTTCTGGAAATTGGGGACCAACAAATAGTACTAATTATTACTATTAATTATATAATAATTGTAAATATCCCAAATTATTTGAATGCTTTGGGTTGGAAATTTTTTTAATAATCCAGGTAGATTAACTGTTTCTAACTAAACTTTTCTTTGCATTGATATTGATAAGAGCGGATGCAAAAAACAAAAATTTTAAATAGTCACTCTAATTAATTCGGAATTAAGATTTAATCGTTGTTGCTGCTCAAAATGTTCTTATCGTGTAATTTTCATAATTATTATTAAGCTAATAGTTGAATAATGAAGTACCGAAATTTTTATTTTTCTATAATTATGATTGTGACTGAATAGTTGCATATGATTACAAATTCTAGCATTTTACATTTGATAAAGAAAGTGAAGTATCCCTATTAGCTAAATTTTCTTTTTTCCTTTTAAAGGAAAATCTTATATATAACTTGTACGAAAACTAATAAATTGACAACATACACGTGTCAATACGAAGTACAATGTGTTAAAATTTGAAAACTGTTAGAAAGAGGAGAGAGAGGGACAATATATAAACAAGCATGTGAGCTTGTTGGGTGGACCCCCACCAGAGGTAAGGTAATATCATCATCCGATGGACAATCGTACATAACTGAGAAGAAGGCAATTCCAATTGCTTGGCCTTGGCCTTGGCCTTGTCTGTACACCGTAGATAGAAGGTGACGCTTCCTCACTGCAATTGGCATGTTTCTATGCTCTCAGTACACTTCATCCTGCTTTATGTACGTTTGTTAATGTCCATAACTTCTCGGGCCCATTCAAATAATATTATAAAAAAAAAATTATAATCAAATTAAAACAAGTTTCTGTTTTAAAAAAACTAATTATAAGTTTTTAATTTATAATTCTATTAACATTTTGATTAACAGAATCATAAATTAGGAATCTTATAATTAATTTGATTATTATTTAAGAACTAATGTCAGACTGTTTTGGACAAAAGAATCAAAATGTTGAATAATAAACCTATTTTTCATTTTTGATGATAATGTAGAATATGGCATGTGTTTTCATCCAATCCCGAGAATTGACATTGACACGTAATATGTTCATTCAAATCCTTCTCTAATTCTGTCCGCAAGTGAAAGGGCAAAGAATCAAACAAGAAGCAACAGAAAAGAAAAGACATATATGAAGTTAGATGAGTAAGACTATTGTAACAGTAATAAAATCTTACACATGGTCCTACTTCTTCTTCTTCTGCTGCTGAGAAGAAAGCTGAACCCTTTTTGTACGTCAAGAAAATATATGCAAGCTAGATACGCACAGTTATTTCTGCATACTAAATATCAGACACCAGATGCATATGGTATGGCCATCTTTGCCATCATTTATTTCTGCATGCTAGATAAATTGCCACTTGTTCTAGTAGAAAACTTCCAACTTCAAATCTCTGTTGAAAACATCGTTGGAAAATTATTCAAGGAAAAGAATAAAAAGAGGGCAAAAAGAAGAAGAAACATGCCAGATGCCTTATAGAACATTTGTCAGAATCTAGATTTCACAACTCAATCGACCAAACCCATATAGATTCAAACATATCTTAATTGAAGCATCACAAGATATGTATTAGATGTCTAAACATTTGTTCTGATTTCCTTCTACCAGAATTTTTTATACTAGCAATCAAGAGCTCAGACTAGACAAGAATGAGCTGTACAAATCCATGTGACCTCACAGCCAAAGAGCTCGGATCCATATACAATTTTGGCAAGCTACATGAAAATTGAATGCAATACAAAAAATGGATTGACAATATGCAGGGTGAGGCAATGAAAAATTATCTGCAAGTTGAAGAAAAGATATCAAAACTTAGACAAATCTGTCCTTTTGGTGAAATGGAGATCCTGAAGGAGCAATTAGACCGAGAGTTTGCATGACTTTGGTTCTTCTTGCACTCAGCTCTTGAGATCTTCCAGGCGAAGCAGCATCCTAAGAGAAATAACAAAATTAAATAAGTTGATCTTTGAAACTAACAAAGTTAAAGTAACAAAGTTTGTAATGTTGAGCTTGTGTTTATTTTCCACCTCAACTTCTTTAGAAGATCTGCTTTTAACACGCTCTGCAGTTCTTGGGCTATGCTTTTCCTTCCCACCTTGCCTTTTCAGCTTGACTCTCTTCTGCGTGCTGTCAAACTCTTCAGTTTTTTCCACTCGTTCATTGGTACTTGAGCTCTTTTGCTTGAGTTTCTTTTGCATCCCATCTCGGTTAGATGTTTTCCTTTTTGTATTCTTTTCTGGATTTAAGCTGTCTAATTTGAGTTTTCTTTTTACCCCATCTTGCTTGGAGGCCTTGCTAATTGCTTTCTCACCTTCTATTATAAAGCAAATTGCTAATTGTCATCTTTCTATTTGAAATATGTTATTTTAAGGAATCCCCAATACAGCATATTCAATAAGCATAAGCACAACACTTCATGCTTCAAAGCTTTATCTAACCATAACTGAATCACATATCAGTGCATCAAAATTATTTGCAAAATTAAATAGTTCAAATTTGAACAACAATTTTCCAAATCATCCTTATACAAGTTCAATATTGTGCATGTAGTAGTAAATAATGGGCAACTGAGAAACAATATCCTATAATGGTAAATGAGGCAGAAATTAGAGTGTTAAGATGAATATGCCAAATTATGGACGTGAAACCTGCTGAGGATTGTTTGACTATATCCAACATAGATTGGCATATGCATGATACATGATATCTAGTACATCCAAATCACAAGAGTGAAGAAGACAAAAAGCAGATGAAAGATGGTTTCAGGAAGTAACACACAAATAAAAATATCCATACAGCTAATACTAACACTATGGAATTGAGGCTCAGTTGATTCTTTCATTTCAAATTTCCATCTCTCATAGTGCCCTATTATTTCAAATCTCTTTCATAATGCATTAAAATTAACAGAGTTCTCAAGAAATCCATCATATATCAAATCCGCTTGACTAAGCTTTAGTCCCCAACCACTTGGATAGGTTAAATAAACCTTGCTTAACTCACTTATCCATCTACATAAATCTTTCCTCACCACTAAATGCAGAAGCTAAGCATAAAAGGAAAGGGATGGTCAGAAAAGAAAGGAGAAAAGACCATGTGAACCAGAAAATGGAAAGAAAGACGGCTAACCTTTAGATTTCGTTACTTTCCCCTTTACTCGACTGGAATTCGACTGAGAAATATCCTATCATCATATCCAAATGATTGGAGAAGCCATAAATTACTATAATGTACTATTTGATTGCTCAAAAAGCAGCTTCTATATCATATTAATGACCATCTTAGGATTAGTTCCAAATGAAAGGTCAAAAAAGGTTACCTGCTCTAGAGCTTTCCTAAATATTTCTTCATATGAACCATTATTCTTCTCAAGTGTCTATGGAAAAAAAAAAAAAAAAAAGTCAAAAAAGGTTCCTTGCTCTAGAGGCTTTCCTAAATATTTCTTCATATGAACCATTATTCTTCGGGCTTCTCAAGTGTCTATGGAAAAAAAAAAAAAAAAAAAAAAAACAGAGATAAACAGGTTGAAAGTCAAAAATTGTAGAATGCATATGTTCAATCACACATAAAGAATAGGCTGTATCAGAGAGTTGCATTTCGGCACTTACAATGTGAAACTCAGAGCGGCATTTAATAGGATCCACGTACATGCTAGAAGCAAAATACAAGCAAAGTTAGAATTTACAGGTTTACTAGTAAGAATGGAAACCACTAGAGAAAGGGAAAGAGGCCCCAACTATTCATAGCTCCCAATCAGCCTAACACGAACACCCTTTATTTCTCTATCCCCACTGACATTGCTTCCAAAAACCTGAAAAATAATGAAGTAGTAAATCCAAAAGTTTTGTCAAAATAAAGGCTGCATAAAAACAATAAAACAATTTATGTGGTCTACCACTGCAGGCCACCAGGAGTCGCCATGAAGCTTCACCCAAGTTATGTCCCCAAGCATGGGCTCCCCTTCCAACTGCATAATAGCATTACTTTCCTCGGCATCACCTGAATTATGATTTTTGCTACTCGTGCAGCTTTTACCTTCCATAGTTTTTCGCTTTGATTCAGACAAATCTAGTTGCAAACGCAAATGGGTATGTTGACAAGAAAACCACTATGATAAGTATATTTGATAGTTACGTAGATCATTGATTTTTCTAAATAAAAAAAAAAAAAAAAAAAAAAAAAAAAAAACCATTATGTTGGTAGATCACGGTAGTAATCATATGAATGGATTTTTTTAAATAAAAAAAAAAAAAAAAACAGAGAAAGTAAAACTCTTGAAGTGATTATTACATTTCTGTGCTAAATTTCTAATTTTATTACCTTAATCATTACTCCACAATATGTATTTGAACTAGCAAGCCAGTTTTAAAAAAAAAAAAAAAAAAAAGAAAAAGAAAAACCTCTTTGAAGTCATTCATTTTTCTTAAATTTCTAATTTTATACCTTAATCAATTCTCCAATATGATCATTTGAACTAGCATCCAGTTTTATTTTGTCAACGGAGCCAAAAAGGAAAAAAAGAACAGAGAATCTTTCAATAAACCCCATTTCGCATTCCATTCATGAACCCCAAAAGAAAGCCAATATTGCCCTGATACGAGCACCACTAGCAACATAAGTCATGTCAGGGAGTGAGTGATCCACCAAAACATTCAAAACCCTAAGTCCCAAAAAACTATAATCTGATCAGCTTAGCAAGATACATCCCAAGACTACATTGCTTTTACCAAATGGAGCACAAACCCATCAACTTCCTTTTGGGTAACGAGGAAAAGAAGAGAAAAAATTTCTAAGCTCTAATTTTCAAAATTCAGTAATGAACTGAAAAGAATCTTATTTTCATGAACATAGAACAAAGCCAAAGAATTGAATCTAAATAACAAGAAAAAGCAACTTGGGCACTTACCAGTTAAAAATGAGAACAGGGTTTCGCAAGAGAGGGACTCGCTAGTTGAACCATGTTAAGTTTTTCTTCTTAGTGGAGATAGTGAAATGGAATGTTGCTTCACGAACTTAATGAGCAGGTAATGGTGTTGGGAAAATATTAAAAAATTACATGGAGCAGCTTTTTCAGGTCTAGAGCAATTTGATTGACAATTTTTTTACCCCAGGAAGGTAAATACTAATTCAGCTGAATTTAACAATCTACTTAAATCCATATAAAATTTTAGTATTATTCATATTCATTTTCAACTAAATATTTATTCTTAAATTTTTTTAAGCATTATTTATATTCAATTTGCTAATATTTTACTATTTGCAGCTATTTCACCCATTAAAATATTTTTAAAATAATAGATTATTCTTAAATTTTAGGCTATCCAGACCTAAAATATTAGCGATTTAGAATACTCCTTATATTAATAATGGAGAAACTAGGTGTGATTGAATCCACTTAATAGAGCAGTTATCCACGTATCAATACTTATTTACAGCTAATGATCTAATATTGCTATAGTATCTATCAAAAATCTGTTTATAATTACTTGAATATGCACTAAACATGTCCGATGTACCAGAAAGTACTCCATGCTTAATTCTATCTATGCCATTGATGTTGTTTTGATGATAATTTTACCCCCTCCCATGTTGCTATATTTATGTAGGTACAACCATGGTTCAGTTTCAAATTAAAATTAAATCCGTTAAAATTTAATATAAAATTGTAGTCGGCAATTTCTGTTTCAAAGAAAACTACTGCATTTATGATTGAACTTTTATTTATTATAATTTTTTAAAAATAAATTATAAGCTTTTATTAAATTGCTTTAGTCTTTTTCTATTATTATTATTATTATTTATTTGTGCTGTAAAATTAAAAAAAATTATCTAATTTCGATTCCGAAACGGTACGAAAATCGTAACGGGCAATCTAAAAACCCGCTCTAAAACATCCTTCGTATGAACGGAACTAGCATTTTAAAACTAAAAGTTGATGGTTTTGAAATCATGTCATGCCAATATCTATATATCTTAAGCTTAGAGACAGCAATCCGGTGAGGTTTATAAAGGTGGATTGAATTATTTTCAATTCGGATATCTTAAATTTTTCTTTGAGTGGTTTTGAATAGAATTATTTCATGTTGTTTCGTGTGTTAGATGAACCATCCAGTTTAATAAATCATAATAAATATGTTTTTTTTTTCCCTTTACTGTACAATATCAAAAATTATTAGTGAAAAAATATATCCAAAATTGAGTTTTGCACCGATATTTAACACAAAGATTCAATTTTATAGCGCAATTTTGACCAGTCCTCCAAGTCATGTATTTTCTAAAAGAGTGTAATATAGTTAGAGGCAAGACAGTAGGTCTGTTTAATTTTCTTACAGGAACATCACAGCACAGTACAGTATTATAAGAGGGAAACAGCCATAAATAATTAAGAGAACTAGGTGAATATTGAAGTTTTCATTTGTATGAGGTGCAAACTTATTTATATTTTACAAATGGACATATTATTGAAGTTTTCATTTTGTATGAGGTGCAACTTATTTTATATTTTACAAATGGACATATATATATTATATATATATATAATAATAATATATATATAAATAAGCCTATCTTCAAATAATCAATAACAAGGACTGCCTTTATTGCCTTATTTAAAGAATATATAATAAGCCTATCTTCAAATAATCAATACAAGGACCTGCCTTTATTCCTTATATTAACAGAATCTACTTTATCTTCCCATATGCCTCATTATATCTTCAAAACGGCAATCTGCAAATTGGAGTTTAAAAAAGGCAAATGTTAATAATGGAACCTCTGTTCTTTGTTTTCTTTTTCTATTATTTTTATTTTTCCTTTCTGGGTTTTATTGTCTCTTTTTTTCTTCCTCCTTGAAGAAGAAGAAGAAGGTGAATAGGGTTTATCAATGTAGGTAGAATAGTTCTGTATAGAGGCTTACCCTAGTTTGAGGGAAGTATCAGAGCTATCATCTTCCGGAGGAGGGCCACTACTACAACTGCAGATATTAGTAACAGATTCTGATGATAAACCTTCTTCTTGAGGATGGATATTAGACTCCACAAGTCTTTTTCCCTTGCATAGACTCATCATCTGCATTATAAAAACCAGTAACATAATAAGCCACAACTCTCACTTAATTATATCTGTCACTATATTAATCAATCCACCTGTACCTTCTGTTTGAGCTGTTTGTTCTCTTCTAACAATTGCTCTCGCTGCATAATGAAAGAAACCAAGCTAAACAAATATAAAATTTGCCTCAGCTGATAATATATACTTTGAGCTGAGTAGAGTTAGTTTTCTTATAGAACAAACAGTTACAACGACTCCCACGGATTGATAGAACATAGAGTTTGTTTCCTGTTCGTTCTATCATTCGTGGGATATCAAATTATCAACGCCAATGAGGCTGAGATTCGTGGTATTTCCACTTCTTCTTTTAAGGGTTCTTCTTCTTCCTTAATTATTGAGTCAGACTCCAAATCAGCGAAGATGGCATTACGTGTGCAAATTCATTATGAAGGAAGTTATATATGTGTGGTTCTACATATGCAACTTTATTTGTGTTATTAAAGTCTTCCACTTGCATATTAAAATCCTGTCTTGAATTAACATATATAATATATATATATATATACACGCAAGAACTAGCAATAGGCTCAGTCTATCTGTAAGTGCAATATCAGAGTTGAGTAAAAAACTGAATTTGAGTAACTGGTATTATAACTTAACCTTCTTTTCAAATGCAGAGATCTCATTCATAATCCGCTCTCCCTGAAAAAAGAAAAAAAGCAAATATCTCAATCAACAAATGGAAAAATGATATGCTTATATATATATATATATATATATAAAAGCAATGAGCGCAAGTAAACCTTAGTTTCAAGCACACGGCTAAGTCCTGATTCAAGCATTTTTTCCAATTGCTGCAATTCCTCTATATTTAACCCTTGCAGATCCTCTCCGCTCATCTGCCTGTTATGCAAACTTATTGGTTCATTTAATTAGTTCTACACACAGATATATAAAACTCTTAGATTAATAACAAAAACCATACATATGATACCTCAGTTGATGAGTCTTTTCAGCCAACTCCTTGCTCAACCGAATGTGATTGTTATTTTCAAGCTATAGTAGCAATAATAAATGGAATTGGTTTTTATAAGATGAGTAGCCATACAAATATAAAACGCAGAACTCGATACATGATTAAACGCAGAGAAAAAATGAAATACAAACAAAAAACAAAAGATTTGCTACATTTATAGTATCATTTAACAGAAAACTTATAAAGCTTAAAGCGTTTACATACTTGCAATTCAAGAGATGGTTGGTCACCTTTCTTGATGTTATTTGAGTACCGATCATACCTTGCAATTATGTCCTTCATACTTCAAGAAAACAGCAATATATACTGTTAGATTAGCGAAATTAGGAGATTCAATCATTTGCCATATAAATATATATATACTTAAATGATTTAAATTATAAAAGAAAATCATCACAAACCCTAATTTTGATAACCCTTTTTTTCCTTTACAAACTTTTGAAGTGCAAGATAATCAGAAAATGTATATGTAGCAGTTGAAATTTGAAACCCTAAGTAACATGCTTCTGTTTGTTTAAAAAAAAAAAAGAAAAAAAGAAAGAAAGAAACAGTAAAATCAACCTTTTAAGAAATTCCAACTGTCAATACTTAAAATTTTATTAGAAGGTTCAGGCTTTTTAAGTGAAACAAGGAAGTTACAAAAGAAAAAAAAATTTTGCTCTATACTTCTAATTTTTTTTCGATTTATCTATCTTAATTTGAAAGGTTAGATGCAAATTTTCCTAAACGATTGCAAGTAATACAACATACAAGCTTGTGATGATTTCCTAGTTTAGTTATAACATTTGATATTGCACCATATTTTTACTTGTATAGTTTTCTTTGTATCTTCTTATCTCAGGAAGTAAGTTCATTTTCTTAGTTGTTGAGGTTTTCCATGTTTTTTCATTTAACATCTATAAGATAAGTTGAGTGTATTGGAACTTCTATTGGTCTGAGCGTATTGAAAGATCTATTGGTCTGAGCTTAGAATTATTGTATTTGCTAAGTTTTGACTCGATCTATAATTAATAATTATAATTTGCTGATAAAAAAAACACAACATACTAATTTGTCATGCTTTTATCTCAGATGAATGTTGTTCTTTTTTTAAAAAACAAAAATCAACCACTAACAGCTGCTAAAAAAAAAAAAAAAAATATGAATTATTGTATTTGCAAGTTTTGTTGACTCATCTATAATTAAATTAATTATAATTGCTGATAAAAAAACACAACATACTAATTTGTCATGCTTTAATCTCAGATGAATGATTTTGTTTCTTTTTTTTAAAACAAAAATCACCACTAAGCTGCTAAAAAAAAAAAAAAAAAAGACTAATAAGCTTTTATCAGCTGCATTTTAAAATTTTATTCTATAATCATCTATTACTGATTTGTAGTTATAATCATATTTAGACTATATTAACTTATAACATAAAAAAAATACATACAAAATTACACTTTTTTTTTAATCACTCTTTTATGAAATCAATATTTAAATAATATTAAGTATTAGATTCATTATACAAATTAATTAATATTTTTTTGTATACAATACATTAAATAAAATAATAATATTCACTCTTCACAAATACACACATATTTTATATATACTATATATAAGTATAATATATAATATAGTATAGTATAATTATATTCTAAGCTTATTTTACATATTTAACAAAAACAATTACTAAAATTACAAACAATCAACATTCATCATATGAATAGGAACCGTTTGGGTTTAGTTGTTCATATATAATTATATTCTTAATGCTTATTTTACATTTTAACAAAAACAATTACTAAAAATTACCAAACAATCAACATTCATCATATGATAGGACCCGTTTGGTTTATTGTTCATGATAGCTACTAATCTGTAGCGCTTGCTTAAAGTGGTAGTTATAACTAATAGATATTGGCTGTTCAAAATAACAATAATAATAATAATAATAATAATAATAATAGTCGGCTTTAAAGTGTTTATATACAGTATCATGTATTACGTATATTTTTATATTTGAAGTTGAGTATAATTATATATTATTTTTTATTTTAATTGTAAATAATTATAAATAAAATAACCATATAAATACTAATTCAAAAAACAAATAATTTTATTTAGCAATTATTTTTGTAAGTTCAACGTAGTTCAAATGTAATATAAATACAAGTCAAATAGCAATTCTAGAATGAAGTTAATATAATCAACAATTCATTGAGATTAAATCCTTATCAAACATGAAACAGTTAACTATAAAGAAAGTAAATACTATCTTTTCTATATTTCTTTTAATTTTTCTTCCTTGATTGTCAAATTTAATTGTTTTTCCTAATTTTTCTTATTCGTTTAATTCATAAAACAAATAAGTAAAATTGTGGAGAATGAAAGTATTTTCTTTCAGTAAATATGGATGATTTCATTGTGGAAATAATTAGACGATGCATCAACAATAAGAGTAGGACCGTAAAATATTTCATTCTCATAGACCTGATGTAGAAACGAGTAGCTCTTACTACATTCGTAAAAGAGGATAGAAAGGGCATTTTTACTCTCAAGAGCAACCACATTCAGAAGCATAAGAATTTTTATGTTTTGATGAATTTTAACTTTTTGAATCCAAAATTGACACAAGTCAAATGTATTAATTTTTTTGACTTTAAAATGTTAAAGTCTTCGCTTTGATGGATATCACAGATGTGATTACTCAAAATCTTCACCTTTGTCTTAGTCTATACAATGCATATTGTTCCTTCCTTTTTATATATTGACCCTATTATTTCATGTGCAAGAAAATTGGAGCTCCAATAGTTGCTAGAATTCCTCTTTCCAACAAAACAAACAAAAACAAGATTCACTGCAAAAAACTTGCACAGAGTTGGAACATATTGTCTCCACTTACCACATTATATATAAAAAAATCTCAAAAATGTCTTTATAAATATCGTAAAAGATTAATGTTTGCATACACAATTCATCCTTAATCGATTTTAGGCTAGTAATTCAATTTCAGAAAATTTACATTATAAAACAAAATGTGAGAATTCAAATCAAACCGGGTAGTAGTTGAAACATTTGTCAACATAATTAAGGAAAGTGTTAAGGTAAAAATGGAAATGTATAATTTAAAAAATTTCATAATCCCTCTAGTTCTGCATTATTCAATAATATAAGTTTGGAAATTAACTTGTTCTTAGCATGATTTCGTGATCCCATCTACCACAAACCAACCAACCATTCCCTCACTGAATAAGAAACAATTAATACTCTACAAAATATCTTCCTCCAAACTTCTTCAAACCTACCCTAAATACGTTCATTTTTCCACAAAATGATGCCATTCTGCGACTCATATCGCATCCAAGTCAAAATAATTAATCCCCAATTTTAATTGGTCAGTAATGAGTTTCAGACTTATCAAAAGGGTTCAGATCCAAATTCGAGAAACAGTAGACAAATATTCGTATCTCTCTCTACATAAAAATTAACTAGATGGTACTGGTATTGGTACTGGTACTGGTACAAGTATAATGATTCCAAATAAACAGTATAATTAGAAATAAGAGGTGCTGGAAAGTACTAAGAAATATGCAATATAATACAAAATAGGTTTTGATTATTATTATCCTAATAGATTAGGCAACGAAAGTACATTTATCAAACTTTATGATGATGCAGAAGATAAAATAACATTTTTTTATTCTTAATACGGTTTTTCACTATCTCTTCTCCCTTATAGTTATTGGTTTTATGAGAATTAATCATGTCTTTTTACTTACCGTACAAAAAGTTTCTTGTTCTTGAAAAACCGTGAAATTTAAGTTTGTTTATTTATTTCATATTTAATTAATACACACACACACATATATATATACTGGAAGAGTTGGAATGAGGAGGAGTAGAAGTGAAATTCATTGATGATATGTAAAGAGATCTAATAAGCCAATAAAGAGCAATACCTGGTGCTAGCATACTCAAATAGCTTCCCAGTAGCAGAAAAACTGATAAGAGCAACCTCAGCATCGCAAAGAACAGAAAGCTCCTCAGCTTTTTTGAAAAGCCCTCGTCTTCTTTTCGAAAAGGTCACTTGCCTTGCTGTAATGTTATCAATCTTCTTGATCTTGATCTTCTCTCTAGCCATTTTCTTGATCTTTTTATTTCTTTCTTTCTTTAGAAAGCAAAACAAAAAGAATCAACAACCACATATACTTTCATTCGAATTTGTTTGTCCGTACAACCAAGAATAGGAATTATTATCATGAAATGGCAAAGAAAGGAAGGGAGCTGACAGATCTTTCTTTTCCATTTTCAAAACCCAAAAAAAAGAATCAAGATTACCAGATATGGTTGAACTTTACATTTGTCCGTACAACCAAGAAGAGAAATTAACACAAAAAATGGCAACAAAAGAGAGCTCAAAAAGGTAGGGTTATGCTAATTCAAGACAAGATTTTAGCAAACCCTAGCTTTGAGGGAAAAAAAAAACACCTAATAAAGTTCAGATCCAAGCAAAAGAAAACCAAATCTTGAATTCATAAACATGCAAAGAAATACAGTAAGTACCTAACTAAGGTACTTACTCAGTTTCAGCAGCTTTGTCTTGAATTAGTCCGATCAGAGAAAGCGAAAGCTACCAATTAGAGAAAGAAATGAATAAAACCTCTACCTAAACGCTAAACAGAAAGAGTAAAAAGGAAGAGAAAGAGTTTGGTTTTTGTGTTCAAGAAAGGAAAGGTTGCATTCCTTTTATGGCTAAACTCTTTTCCCGACATTTTTCTTTTCCTTGGAGAGTTTTTCTTTAAAAAAAAAAAAAAAAAGAAAGAAAATTAGAAAACAGTCAAAAAAGAGATTTCCATTGGATAAAAAATGGTATTTTCAACTTCGATATTTTATTTGTCAGAAAATATTTCTTTTTATTTTTTATTTAGAACAATTAAACAGTACATTATTTTATGTGGATCAATGCTTTCCGTACAACCAAACCTCTTGGTTTGTATCGTACCCTATTTCTGCTTATGAGTTATGAGCTTATCAACGCCAATTTTAATATTATCGTTCTTCTTTCTTTCTCTCTATGGAAATTTCCAAAGATGGATTCAATGTATAACGTCCCCATTTATCAACTAATAATTACTAATTTGACATATTATTTACTTTTTTTTATCAGCAAAATTATTTTTTATTTTTAATTATATATATATGCTGCAAAAATTAAAGGAAATTTTTTTTTTCAAATTCTAGGGATATAATAGTATATTTACCTGATAGTTTTCAATTTTGAGATATTATTCTCTTCAATTATTTTTTAATGAAATTTTTTCTTTTCGAAAAAAGGTAAAATATTAGGATATAAATAATAATAGTGATTAACCTAAAAATATCACGGTAAGTAATATATATTATACAATTTAATTATAATGATTAATAATTGCATCGGACAACCACACAAGTAATATCTTTAACTTGGATGTTGAACAATGCACGTGCCAGGCAACATTAACAAAGGTTGAAGTTCGTTAATTAATTAATTAATTAATTAATACTGTAATTAGTATATGTTTAAGGGAAGACAATGAAATGAAGATTCTTTCTATATCTGTCAATGTGGTCCAAAAGGCTGTGTTGTCTATTTCAGCTTTGAACACAATTTGGTTCTCCATAATAAATATATAACTGAGGAATCTAATCTGTGTGTTTGTTTGAAGTCCGGAGAAAGTGTTGTGTTCAGGCAAGTTGCATCAAAACCCACTTACCAAATTCCTCTTTAAGATTCAAGAGAATGGAGCCCGCCTGTTGCTTTCTTTATATATTGAAAAAAATATCGATAATTACAGACAAAAAAGATAAAATAGATTTTATAATTTCTGTTCTGAACTTCCGAGAACAAGAATATGGATTCATTCATGGAAGTGGGTATTTATACAATAAAGGAGAAAAGAAAAGAAAAGACACAAGACACAAGGAAGCTCGTGGAATGTGTAATTGATACACCAAATCTTAACCCATCTCTTAGCAATTAATTCAGGTGGAAACCAACTTTAATTAATTAATTAATTAATTAATTAATTAATTAGTGCAATTATCTATAGATGTGTTTATGTGATGAAATTATTAAAAAAAGGACAAAAAAAACTGATGGAGAGAACAAGTGGTCTCTTAGATTCCATTCGCATTCCTTGGAAGCCATTTGTCAGCATTCCACGTGCATGCTTCCTTTTAAATTTTTTCTTTCCAAGACGAATGTTTTACAATTCCATTACTTCTACTCCTCGATGGAGTCGGGAATTAAATTTAGGGGTTAAAAAAATTCATGACTTAAGGGGTGAAATTAAAAAATTTTACCATTTTAGTGGATAAAAATAAAAATTAAATTAAAAAAAAAAATTTGTTTGGGAGAGCGGGGCCTATCATTAGATCTCTAGCTCCGTCACTGCTTCTACTTTCATTCAATGATAACGATACTTATATAAAAAATAAAAATTATCAAGTTCAAATTATATTAACTACAAATGTTTTAATAAAAAATATGATAAAAAATCCTATTAATCTCACCGGTTTGTTCAGTAGCCTGTCACTTCAATGAATAGATCCATCGTCGATATGACTTCTCCTCCACATGTATTTGGCAAAAAGCCTTCAATAATAGGTATCAAAAGGTGTACATAAAAATAGTCAAATCAACCAAGTCGAACCAATTTTGATTTTTAATCTAATAAAGATAAAAAAATTTTAAAATTTTTGTTCAGTTTAATTTTTAAAACTGGGTTTGATATATAATTTGAAATCTATTTGATTTTTTAACAGAAAATAGTTTATTCGAGTTAAAGTTTTAAACCGATTTGATTCAATTTGAATCAAACCTATTGAATACCAGATCGCAGTAAATAGAATGGATTTTGAAAATGTCCAGGTTGCTGTGGTCCCACCCGTTTTAGCCGATGTACAATTATGAATGTGGAGTATGGACGTCTGATCTGCAACTCCGGGCCCATTGGATAAGGTTGGGCCCACACTGCTAAGTGCTGTAAAAGTAACCCACTTCACCTGGTGTTGGAGCCAACTCAAGTTGGTTCCTCATTGTTCTCCCCCAATCCTTAAATGTGTGTCCAATCGTAGGGTCCAGTTTTGGTTCAAATTGGTATCCTTTCATAAGCTAACATCCTGCAGAATTTTTCAATAATATATATCTTAAATATAATGTGAATGGCAGAACTATCCCTTAACTTAGCTATTTTATTACCACCCAAGGTGGTTGCATTGTGCCGAAGGTGTTAATTATCTGCCTGCGATCCAGGTTGGATCCTTCACGATAGTATTTTATTACGCATTGTGCCTAAATATTGACTCTACTTTTATAATAGCCCACTTGCGGGCTGCCCGACGTGGATTGAAGACCGTAATGCCCTGATCCTATAGACGGTGTAGTCAACACTTGACCGGTAGCTATTTTGTGACCATCACATCTAGTAATTCATTTTAAATCAATACAATATACAGCAAGGATAGCCCCGCTAATATTTAGACTCGAGACCTTTTATTTTTCAATTTTTCTCTCAAATATTTTTTATATATAAAATGATCAATTATATCACACTTAATTAGTTTTATATATACTTTTTTCCTGAATTGTCAGAAATATGCTCATCATAGATAAAAACTTGCTTTTAATTAGTTTGGGTGCAGAGATAGCCCATCCATCGAGAATGGGTAAGTCCTTCCATGCATATATATCCACTCATCTCCAGAAAGGCAACCTGCAAACAGTTGAAAGAAACCAAATGAATAAGAACAGAACAATATATATAATTGCTTGATATACTATATATATCTGGTATTAATTAGGATCACTTACAATTATAGATTCTTTTTCTTTTATTTTTCCTTTCTTCGCTTATTTTCTTTTTTATTTTTGCCACTTGCAGGAGGAGAAGAATAGGGTTTTATATATACAAGGAGAAAGTTATAGATACAAGCTTACCCTAGTTTGAGGGAAGTATCAGAGCTATCATCTTCAAGAGGAGGACCACTGGTGCAGCTGCAGACATTGGTAACAGATTCTGATGATAAACCTTCTTCTTGAAGACGGATATCTGACTCCACAACTCTTTTTCCCTTGCACAGATTCATCATCTGCATTATCAAACCACCATTAACAACTCTCATTTAATTATATCTCTCACTGTATTAATTCATCAATCTATCTCTACCTTCTGCTTTAGCTGTTTATTCTCTTCCAGCAATTGCTCTCCCTGCAAACGAAACAAACGAACAAACAAACATCATTTATATTTTGATTCTGCTACTAATGCATATTTAGCCTATTGAAGAATAATAAAAGCAACATTTGTGAAGATGAAAACGCCGAGCCATGGGCGTCTGTCCCTCTCTCTGAGTAAAATGTAGTTATCCATGTAAAGTTGTATTGGAAATGTCATTTTCCTATATCTATTTCCGCATTTTTCCTGTCGCAAAAAAAGATTAAAAAAAAAAAAACAGTGGTTGGTATTGTAACCTAACCTTCTTTTCAAGTGCAGAGATCTCATTCATAATCCGCTCTCCCTGGAAAAGAAAAAGGAAAAATATTAAGCAATAAATGGAGAAATCATATAAGCTTTTATATATATATATATATATATATAGTGCGTGCAAGTAAACCTTAGTTTCAAGCACACGGGTAAGTCCTGATTCAAGCATTTTTTCCAATTGCTGTAATTCCTCCACATTTAGGCCTCGCAGATCCTCTCCCCTCATCTGCCTGTTATACAAAATTAACGATCCTTTCAATTAGTTCTATATAACTTAAAATCTGACATTAATAACGAAAACTATATATATATCATACCTGAGTTGATGAGTCTTTTCAGCCACCTCCTTGCTCAACCGAGCGTGATTGCTATTTTCAAGCTATAACAACAATAAATGGAATTGGTTTCTGTAAGATGAGTAGCCATACTAATATAATCTGCAGAACTTGGTAGTCACAGAGAAAATGAAACAAAGAATGTAGAAACAAATAGCAAAATTTTGTTTGATATTTAAATGATTGATATTGATTAATAGAAAACTGATAAAGCTAAAAGGGTTTACATACTTGCAATTCAAGAGATGGTCGGCCAAGTTTGTCGATATTATTTGAATGCAGATTATACCTTGCGATTATGTCCTTCATACTTCAAGAAAATAGCAATATACACTGTTAGTATTACAATTTTGAGGAGAATGAAGGGGAAAGAGTCAGTCAAGTTTGAACTTATTTGGACTTTACCATTCTCAAGTTGAAGAATTTCACAACACACACATGTAAATCTTCTCCAACTGGGTAGGTTCAAAATCACAAGTTTCTATAAGATTAATTACTCGTTTGTTTTAGCTGTTTGTAATAACTGGTAGCTGTAGCTAGTAATCGATAATTGTTTAGCAATTGGTCGATGAATGCTGATTGTTTAGTAAAATTTTAATAATAGTCACTATTAAATGTAAAAATATCCATTACAAATTAGTTACATTAATTTTTTTATATATAATAATGTCTAATAATTATTTATTTTAAAATAATTAAAAATAAAATGATCACCTGAAAATATATTAACTTAACAAAATAATTTTATTAATAACTACTTTTATAAAGTTAATATAATTCAAATATAATTTACAGACAAATGAGCAAGCAATGATTAGAAAAAACTTTAAAGTACAATTGATTGAATGAGCAGCTCCTATCTGTTATTAGATGCTAATTAAAATCTTTACCAAACACATGTGGTCTAGCTGTTAAGTGCAAATTACCCATTCGATATATGAAAAAGTTAAATCAAATTTCTCTTAATTGTGCATTTGATAGTAATTGTTTCATATAGTCTATAGTTGATAGTTAATTTATAGCCGAACCAAATCTAACTGATAACTGATATAAGTTTCAATCAACTGCTATAACTACGTTAAATAGCTCAAATCAAATTCATGCGAAATAAAAAATAACACTTTTAATCACCTTTATTTATTAATTAGAATAAAACATTATAATCAAAAAATAACCTTTTTTTTGTTTGACATGAAAAGAAAAGAGTATAATATTATTTATTTAAAGAATTACACAAATAGTTATCTTGATTACAATTTGATTTGATTTTAAAAAAAAGAACAAACTATATGAGTTAAACTCCTTTCCTTTGATATAGTCACTTAATAAAACTATATATACATAAATAAAAACTGAAATTGACTCTATTATTTCATGAGCAAGAACGTGTTATTTATATATCAAGAACGTAGAGATGTTCTTAAGACAATCATAAACCAAACTGTAATCAAGAACCCAAATCGCATAATATAAGTGAAATTAGGAGGGAAAAAGTGTAAATATACAATTTAAAATATTGAAGAAACTATCTTCTTGAAAATTTCTTAATAGGGATTATCACAAGAAAATTGATTAAACCCCAATTTTATTTAGTCACTAATGGCTTATCACAAGAAGAAGTAAACAGTGATTAATATATATTTATCTCTCTCTAATATATATTAAAAAGAATTAACTAGATGGCACTGTTACTAGTACAAGTATAAATAAAGATTCCACATAAACAGTAATAGTAATCAAAGGGTCAAGCAAAGTACCAAAAATATGCAATGTAATACAAAATGGGTTTTGATTATCATTTTCCTAATGGATTAGACAACAAAAGTACATTTCTCGAACTCTATGAAGAAGATTGTGTTTAATGCAGAAGACAAACTAACATTATAAACATGTCCAAGTTGTCCTTAATTTTCTTTTTCTTAATAGGGATTAATGGTTTATGAGAATTAAGCATGTCTTTTTATTTATAGACAGAAGTTTGCGAGACACGAAGCTTCTTGTTCTAAAAAAAACTATGAAATTAGAGTTTATTTATTTCCCGTTTAATAAAAAAAATGGAAGAGTTGGAATAAAGAACAGATGTGCATACATTTTTTTATATATATAAATAGATCTAAGCCATCGAAGAGCAATACCTGGAGCTAGAATACTCAAATAGCTTCCCAGTAGCAGAAAAAACGATAAGAGCAACCTCAGCATCGCAAAGAACAGAAAGCTCCTCAGCTTTCTTGAAAAGCCCTCGTCTTCTCTTCGAAAAGGTCACTTGCCTTGCTGTAATATTATCAATTTTCTTGATCTTGATCTTCTCCCTAGCCATTTTTTTGATCCTTTTCTTTCTTTCGCTCTTTCTTTTTATTTCTTAAAAAAGAACAGGAAAAAAAAAAAAAAAAAAAAAAAAAATTTTCTTCTTTCGCTCTTTTTTATTTTTCTTAAAAAGAAAGGAAAAAAAAAAAAAAAAAAAAAAAAAAAGAGAGAATCAAGAACCAGATATATGATTTCATCTACATTTGCCCGTCCGTACAACCAAGAATAGGGATTATTACTGCATAAAATGGCAAAGAAAGGAAGAGAGCTCAAAGATCTTTCTTTCCTACTTTCAGAACCAAGAAAAAAAATCAAGAATACCAAATATAGTTAATTTCTACATTTGTCCGTACAATCAAGATGAGAAATTTTAACGCATAAAATGGCAACAAGAGTGAACTCAAAAGGCTACGGTTATACAAATTGAAGACAAGAATTTAGCAAAACCCTAGCTTTGAGGAAAAGAACACCTAATAAAGTTCAGATCCAAGCAAAAGAAAACCAAATCTTGAACTCATAAACATGCAAAGATACAACATACGTACCTAACTAAACCACCTTTCCAGTTTTAGCAGCTTTGGCTTGAATTAGGTCCGATCAGAGAAACCCAAACCTACCAATTAGAGAAAGAAATGAATAAAACCTCTAACTTATTTTCAGCATATGGAAATAGTGAAAAAGAAAGAGAAACAGTTTGGTTTTGGTGTTCAAGAAAGGAAAGGCTACAATACCTTCCCTTTGTAGCTAAACAGGAGTCTTTTCCTAACTTTTTTTTTTTTTTTTCTTAAAGTTTTTTTTTTTCCTTAAAGAGTTAAATATATATATATGCGAGATTATTAAAACAGAAAAAAAGAATTTGTTTTTTTTTTTTTTTTTTCCTTAAAGAGTTAATATATATATATATGCGAGATTATTAAAAACAGAAAAAAAGAGATTTGTATTGGATAAAAAGGTTAAAAACAAATAGCATTCTTAATTTTAGTAGTTAAATTTTTTATATGTCAAAGAATATTTTTTATTTTTTAAAATTATAAAAATAATACTGATTTTTTTTTTTATGCATCCAATCGCTTTCCGTACAAAGTTAGCCATCCTGCAATCACATCATGGGCTGATTTTTAATTGCCCCTTCAGCAGCTCCCACCGTGTATCGTACCCTCTTTCTGGCTTTCTGCTTATCCAATCGTCAATCACTATTATTATTATTATTAAGAAAATTTCTTTAAGTGAAACCTGTAATGAACTAACTATAATATATACTAATATACCATACCATTATTAAGTTACTTATTATATATTCTTAATATATGTTTTTTGGAAATTCTCAATATAAGTAATTAGGAGAAATGTTATGGTTGTGATATGCTTCTATTAATTAATTCTTAAAAAACATATAATTAAGAAAACTTTCTCTCTTTGCATCCATACGTCTTATTTATTGTTTCTATTTTCAATCAATTGGGATAAATTGGATCTCAGTAACGCTATATGAATCCTTGAAATGTCTTAAAAATATTAGAAAGATAAAGGAGAGGAGTCCTAATGAAATGATTATAATTATGTCAGAAACGTGATAAATCAATACAGTTCTTAAAATACTCAAATCGATGAGACAAGATAATAATTCAAAATCGACTTATATTTTAGGACAGAGAGAGTAAAAAATTATTTTAGTAATATATAACTTCACAATATGTTGCACAAAGACAATGCATGTCACGTGCAATGCAACATTGACAAAGGTTGGAGTTGTTAATATTGTAAAAACAAAGAAGATGCTTCAGTGTACACGTATTTGTGTATGTGGTCCAAAAAGTAGTGTCGTCCATTTCAACTTTCAATACAATTCTGTATTTTCATGTATATATTCCAACCTTTTTCTAAAAAAAAAAAAAGAAAAAGAAAAGAAAAGAAATCTTTTACAGTTATCTTCTTCTCCGTAACTGAGAAGTGTTGAGGGCGTGCTTGTTTGAACTTGGAGAAAGTGTTTTTCAGCCAAGATAGAGTTTGGCAGATTGCCTCATTCACTTCAAATCTCACATGCCAAATTCAAGAATTTTGCTTTCACTCCCAATCCTCCCCTAACCAATTTTTAGATAATGTTGCACGTGTTCATAAGACTTTATTCTTGGTTTAAAAACTTGGCTAAAACATAATAAATGTTACCAGACAACTATTTATATACAGTATATCTGTTCCCGTTAATTGTTATAGCTATTAGGTTTAGTTGTCCGTAGTTAGATAATCTTTATCTCAAAATCAATAGTTACTTGTGGAAGTATTTATTATATAAGGGTAATATCGAAAAAACATCATTTATTATTTCTCAAAATACTTAAAACGATTTATATTTTGGGACAAAATAATCACTAAAAAACTTTGGGACAGAGGGAGTAGCTTTTATACAGCACTTTAAATTAGAAGTGTTTGGTAAAAATAATTATTTAATTAGTTATTCAATTTATGGTAAAAAAAGAAATTAGTTATTTAATTAACTAAATTCGAAAAAAAAAAAATGGATATGATTGTAAAAAAAAAAATTAAAACTAAACACCGCTAAAACGTTATAGTGTTTAAATCTCTGAAAATTGTTATAAAAGCTATATTATCGAAATTATAATAAATAGAGAGAGTTTTAACTTATCATCTTTACGAGATTTGAATCGTTTATCACTTCAATCAATGCTTTATTAACGAGACTTCAATCAATGTCTTATTAACGAGATGTTGAAGTATTTAACGTGTAAAAATAAAAAAATAAAGTGCTATTTTTAGATAAATAAATCTGTAGAAAGTTAAGAGTGAAAAGACGATTAAAGGTCTCAAGTGAAGGAGGAAGAACAAAATAAAAAAAAAAAAGAGAAAAGAAAGTGCAGAAAGGGTGTGGAATGTCTCAAATATGACGAGACATTTATCTTTTTTCATAAGATTTTCTTTTTTTTTTTTAATCAATTGTTGCATTCACACACAAAAAAAAACAAAAACAAAAAAAAAAAAGAATATATTGAAGAATATAATAAAAATATCATGTCAAGACTCTATCAAAAAGGGAAAAAAATATTTTTCTTTTATTAAAAATAATTTTCTTAGTAAAAATTATTCTTTCTTTTGCGCAAAAAAAAAAAAAAAAGGGATGCAGAGGAATCATTGACCACACACGTCTTCTTCTCATAAGAGTAGTGAAGCTGCCTACATGGAAAAGGGAGGCAATCGCAGTTTCTAGGATTGAATCTAATTATATGTACAGAGATTTCTAACTTTGCTTTTAAGTTTTAAGATTCTACCTTTCATCAATCCGAATGTATTTTTACAATATTTTTTAAATGATTTATTAGTTATTAAAAGGAAAATTACTATTTAGTTACAATTTACAACTTTGTGGTCAAATAACTACGACATTCGTAAGGTTTAAAATCCCATTGATCTCATCATCCTATCGGCAATAGAAAGAATTATCATTATGGACAATTTGGGCAGCAAGAGCCTAATAATTACTTATTTAATATTATTAGTGTTCTGAAAATCGGATTGGTCAATGAACTGAATGATTCAACCAAATTCAATACAATTCAACCGGATTTTTATATATAATATTTATTCAACAAATTTCAATACAATTCAACCGGATTTTATAATATAATATTTTAAATATATTTATTAAATAACAATTCAAAGTAGAGGATAAAAAGAAATTTTTTTGATATCAAAATAAAATATTTTTAAATATATTTATTAAATACAATTCAAAGTAGAGGATAAAAGAAATTTTGATATCAAATAAAAAAACATTCTCCAATTTGGCTTTTATAAATAAATATAAAAATTAGTAAATAATTTTAGACAAAAAAATAAGATATTACTAAATTTAATACTAAAAAAACTCAATTAAGTATAATAAAATATAATATTATTTTCCCACTTATATTTAAAGTTGAGAAATTTAATTGTTTTAATTCATATAATAGGACCTTGGATTTAGAAATAAAGAGGTCCAAAACGAATAAAATTATTGGGCCAACTCTTAAGAGGCCCAAATTAGAGACAAAAACTCAAAACTTAAAACGAACCAATTTTTAACTTGTCTGGTTCAACGGTTGTTGGCAATTTTCATCCAGTTTTTAGTGATTTGTGTCGATTTTTTAAACTTTCGGTTTCTTTATGTAACTCGGACTGGACCACTGTTCGATTTTCGATTAAACCTGTCGAATAGGCCGGTTCGGTTCGGTTCGGTTTTCAGAACCATGAGTATTATTATTACTTCATCTCAAAATATAAATCTTTTAAAATTTTTACATAAGGATTAAGGAAGCAATTAATTTTTCTAAATTATAATAAATTCACCAAATTATCCTTTATTTCAAAACCAACGGTTGCTTGCGAAGTATTTATTGTATTTGGTGTAAATAAGGATAACTTGAAAAAATATCATTTATTATTTTTTAAAATATATAAAACGATTTATATTTTAGGACAAAATAATAAATAAAAAACAATTTATATTTTGGAAGAAATGCAGTATTATTATTAGCTTTTGGACCAAAGCCTATTGGGTCAGTTTAGGGCCCAAACTGCCAATTGCTGTACAATAACCCAACAGCTTCAAACCTCCACTTGGTGTTGGAGCCGACTGGCTCCCTCGTTGTTTCCGAATCCTTAATGTGTCCCACCGCAGGGTCCCATTTCGGTTCAAAATAGGATGTGGTTGGATTTTGTAATTCAACGTAATATGTTTTGGGCATTGTTGTCTATTCGTAAGCTATTAAAATTATGTGTTTGATTATCATAAACTTCGATGTTTATCCACAATTAATTTTTAAAATTATTACAGTTGTTTTAAACATTATTTTCCATTCATAAATTGAAACCATGTTTTATTAAAATATAATGTGTATTTTTTTTTTTTACATTAAGAATATTAGACTATTTATATAATTAATTTCTTAACGAAATAGGAAAATAAGTTTAGTTTTAAATGCAAAAATAAGGAATTTATAAATATTACACCCTTCCTTAAGGCGGTAAAGAAAATTTTGTGACAAGAGCTTTGCAAATCATAGATGTTTACCATTATATGAATCAATTGTCTTATTTTGCTAAAAGATTAGAGAAAATTTACATTTTATTTAGAAAGGAGAGGGAAAAACAATAGCGAAGAAAATAACAGGAGAAAATAATGAAGTACTCCCTCTATCTATAAATATAAGCCATTTAAGATAGTTGCATGTTAAATAAGAAATTAATTAATTCTCTTAAATAAATTTTAAAAATTACAAAGCTAATTATTGTATTTAATATAAATAAGTGTAAAATTAAAAACACACTATTAATTACTCATTTATAACCAACCATGTATGGTTTAATTGATTTTCCTATCTTTTCAAGCTATCTCCACCACAAGAGTTACCACCAATTTGGTAAATATTATGCAAAGAATTTATAACGTTATTCCGACCCCAATCTCTTACTCTTATAGCTATGAATTTATTTAGAAAATTAAAAATATCAAATTTGATTTTTTAAGCTAATTTTAATCTTTTTAACTTATTTAAATTGATTTAAAATATCATATTTGGCCATTTCCGCTTATAAAATAAGTAATATTAAAATTTTTATACATATTAGTCTCAGAATTATGAGGATCTCTTAATAATGAATGATACTTGATTGTAAATTGATATTAATCTTTTTCTAGGAGGAAGGCTCCTCCTTATACACTTGATGTGAGAGCGCTAGCTGGCTTATGCAAATAATGGGGAGGGGTATTTAGAAATTATCTCCTAATATAAAGCGCATATCATTTATGTTATTTTGATTTGTTATATGGTCTTCAAATCTCGATAAAATCGGTATTTATCACTTATAATTAAATTCTATCTCATATATGGAAAATTCTTATTTACTTGAATTTGAATTTTGATGTATCAAAAATTGGAATCGTATCTCAATTTCAGTTGTTCTAGTAATTCTACTAAAATTGATTTTAAATTGAACCAAAATCATCGCAACCCTAATTATGGTATGCTTATAAATTTCACCAAGCCAAATGATATATTGACATATAAAAAATAAAAAAAAAACAAAAAAAGAGAAAATCTTTAATCGTATTTGTACGTATCAATATATAATTTACTTGATATATATCAGAACTCATACACTAGAAGTAGGGCAGTTTGTGGATCGGTTTGGAAACAATAATTAAACCAAATCTAAAATAGTGGTTTGAATAAAAATTGAAACCAAAGTTAAATCATGAAAAATTTCATATCGAATAAACTTTTAATTGCAGTTTGATTTAATTTGGTTCAACTTAGCGATTTGAATGGTTTGAAAGAAGAGAATTAAATTTCCTTATCCGTCTAGTTAACAATAAAAAAAGAGAATAAATTATACTAAATATAAAAAATTAACTAATATAAACTATAACGTAAAATATTTATGATATGATTTTAAATAGTTGTTGAAGTTTAAATTAATTTTTATACGTTTATTTTAAGTATTACATATTTAATAAAATATTAATTCAGCAGTTTATAAATATAAAATTTTAATTTTAATTTGCTTTTACATATATTAGTAAAAATTTATAAAAATTTATAGTTTTGTCACGTATAATTTGGATATATTATATAGTAATCTATTTTCCAAGAGTTTTTAACATTTGTACTTTTTTATAAAATAATCATATAATTTATCTAATTAATATAAAATTATTACTTAATTACTATCCAATATAAACTAATTCCATAATTTGTTATCGAATATAAATTAATTAATGCAAAGAAAATTTGCATTGAAAATATTGAATTAGATTATGATTATTTAAAAGTTGATATATATATTATATAATGGTTTGATTCGATTTAAGCGATTTTGATTACAGAACTGTAAACCAAATTAAAAATTCGGTTTTTAAATAACAGTTTGGATCGATTTCATCCATTTGAGCGGTTTGATCAACAGAAGTATTTCTCTTACTTAATAGCATCCCCTGATTTGAAATTTAGAATTATATGACGAAATGACCAAAGGCCCTCGATCGATCCTGCCCACCACCTATTACTCATAAAAAAATATGATCAAAAACAGAGCCCGATTTAGTCAACCTACAAAATATGGCGTGCAGCCACTGAGCATCCAGCCAAAGCGCACCCATCGTTTTCTTGCTTTGCCATTTTTTTCTCATTTCTCAACCCAAACCCACCAAAAAAAAAAAAAAAAAATCTTGCTTTGCCATTTTTTTTCTCATTTCTCAACCAACCCACCAAAAAAAAAAAAAAAAAATGAACAAAATTCCAACTCCACCAACAGAGGCGAAGCTGAGCGCCTGCCTCGGAGGTCGCGAGAAAAACTCCTCCAAATCCCGTGAAAAAAAAAAAAAAAAAATGAACGAAAATTCCAACTCCACCAACAGAGGCGAAGCTGAGCGCCTGCTCGGAGTCGCCGAGAAACTCCTCCAATCCCGTGATTTCAGCGGTACAAGAGACTTCGCCGTCTTGGCCCAAGAAACAGAGCCTCTCCTTGAAGGCCCAGATCAGATCTTGGCCGTCGCCGACGTCCTTTTGTCCGCCGAGAAGCGCATTAATAACCACCACGATTGGTATGCGATCTTGCAAATTGACCGCCGGTCCGATGACCAGGATCTATTAAAGAAGCAGTACCGTCGGTTTGCATTACTTCTCCATCCAGACAAGAACAAGTTCCCTTTCGCAGATCAAGCTTTTAAGCTTGTCGCAGACGCTTGGGCTGTCTTATCGGATTCAGCTAAGAAATCACTATACGATAACGAATTGAGCTTGTTTTCTAGGGTTGATTTAACAAATTCAGGAAAATTACCGGTCAGAAGGAGCCAGCGACCAGCATCGAAGAAACACACAGGCGAGAGCGTTAAAACTTCTGTTAGTAGTAGTAATAGCTCAGCGGATCGGAGTCAAAGGATGAAGCTATCGTCTTTTTGGACTGCTTGTCCATATTGTTTTATTTTATATGAGTACCCTCGGATTTACCAGGACTGTTGTTTAAGATGCCAGAATTGCCAGAGGGCGTTTCACGCGGCGTTGATACCGTCGTTACCGCCGTTAGTGCCCGGGAAGGACGCCTATTACTGCTGCTGGGGTTTTTTCCCTTTGGGCTTTATGTTTGGGAATCCAGAAAGTGGTGCGAAAACCTCCGGGTCTGGGGCTGCGTCTGTTTTTCCAAACTGGATGCCTCCAATTTTTGGCCCGGGGCAGCAAAGTAGTGATAAAAATGATGGCAGCACCTCTACACCGCCAGCCTTTACCTCTGGGAACCAAGTGGGTGATAGAAATGGTACTGTGAGAGCAACTTCAGTACCAACACCAACAGCAGCAGCAGCAGCAGCACCAGCTCCAACACCGGTAAGGTCAGGGGCGGGTAGAGGCGGTGGAGTAGTTGGGAGTTCGGATGGGAGTGGCACTGGGTTTGCCGCAAAGAAAAGGGGAAGGCCAAGAAAATATCCCCTACAAAATGTTTGATATAAATTACAAGAGAAGGAATGAGAGAAGATGGAGGAAGTTTTTATGGCCTGAATTGGTAAGAGGTATAGAAGTCTCAAGCAAGAGGGCTTTATAGCTGGCACACTATGGGGAAGTCCATAGGTATTGTTTTTAACTTCTTGTAGTGGTATCTGTTGCTTCTTTTTTTTTTCTTCTTGTTTGTAGAGTTTAGATGTTTTTACCCACCGTGACTAACTTGTTAATTTAAGGTTATGAAATGTAGCAATGTCATTTTAGCAAGTTCTCACTATGAATTGGAGAATTGTGCCCTAATTGGTCATGTATATCTTGAAAGGGCATAATTTTGTTCTTTGTGTAGCCAAGTATATGCATTTTGTACTTTTGTGTTCATAAGCTTTGAATATGTAAGATCACTAAATAGGCATAGAGCAGTTTATTTCAGTGCAATAACCAAATTTCAATTTATTCATAATATAATTATCACTACTTGAGTTCTGTAATCTCATCCTAAAAAGGTGAATTTTGATCTGTAATGAAGGAAATTGAGTTCTCTGTTTTAGTTGTCCTCTTCTTTTTTATTCCTGGTATAAGATGACCATGAGGAACTAGTGATAATGCCTTTTTGTTCCCTCACCTTATCATTGATCATCATAGGGCAAGGGCATATTTTCTGTTATCTCCGAACATGATCAGAGACTAGTATAATTGGTAACAGACCAAAAATGTGGTCTCTTATCTTCCAACTGAAGTGGAAGATTTGAGCCTTGGCTAGATTAGAGTCAGTTTGTATTTTGTCAGAAGCTGTCTTTTCTAACACCATTTGTCATATATGACAATAAAGAACTCTCTTATGATCTTATTTGCAGGCCAAAATTTGAATGCTTTTAACGTTTGTTTCATGCTCTGCACCTTGGTAGTTGGTGGATGATTAGAGATGTCTAAGTTATGAATGAAATCGCGGTAGCCATGTCCTATAAGGTCATTTGGGGATGAACAAAACCACCTGTTTGGTGGTTTTGCCTCCCTGCTATGAGCTATGGAGCATCCTTGCTTTGTATATTTTAATTATACCGTGATTTGTATTTTTGTATTTCTAACTTGCATACTCATGAATCCTGGATGGATAGACAACAGATAAGGCGAGACTTTCATCTATCACATGGGTTTCGAACAAGGTTTGTATGTATTGGTAAAAGAAATGAATTCCCATCTATTGGTAAAAACTTTATATTAATACATCATTTCTTAATCTTCCTATCTAATTATTACACCATTTTAGGTCTCTTTTGATAAATTACTTTACTTCTGAGAATCTATTAACCAAATGTTAGGTTGTTTTATAAAACATTATATATTTTAAACTGATTTATAAGTTAAAAGTAGCTAATTCAAACACACTTTTCCGTATTATATTAGATTCTAGTGTGGCTAAATAGACATATTCATTAAATTTGTTTGACAAACGAAAAGTTTTTTATCAAATTTATTTGCAAATCTAATTTTTCATGTTTGGTAAAAATAAAATTTCATACTTTAAATTTTATGAAGTTGGCTATGCTTAAATCAAAGTCTATCAATATTGATAGGGTTCTACAAGTGAACTCTAAAAATTAAAAGGGTATAAGCAATGAAAACTAAAGAAGCAATTTCAAGTATAATTAGGTTTTAAACAAAGATTTTCAACAATAAAATTTAAGATGCTTTTAACATCCAGCCTCAAACCAAAGGATCCAAGAAATGAAAAAGAGTTACATTGAACTCTCAAGAATTAAGAGAGGAGGAATTGGAAAGTCCAAGGCATTCGCTTTGACACCTTCTTAAGCAAACATCATTCCAATTAGGCACTTGATGTTGATTAACACAGACAGTTCTTGCACAAGCATCAGCGCAAGCATCAATTTCAGAAACCCCACAGACAGTAACACAAGTATCTATAATTGGGTCCTTAGAAAATGCACCAACCTTCTTCAACATTCTCTTTGATGTACATACTTTCTCGCAAACAAATATTTCATCAGAGTTTTTTTCGCGCCCTCTTGCACTCTTGAGCCTTTCCTCTTCTGCTCTCTTTTTCTTCTTCCTGATCGCTTGCCCTGTAATTACTGCTGGTATTGCTGCACCTAACACTATCCACCATGGATCCACCATACCTACCCAAACAAAAGGTCAGAGAAAAATAGGGCAGAAATCAAATAATGCGATTATATGTTTTAAATCAGTTCTCCATCGAATGGAATCGCAAAATTTAGCGATGATGCGAAAGAAGAAAGAAATAGAAAGAAAGAGTTAACCTGGAAAGTTTTTTGCAACGGACGAGGCGGAGGAGACTAATGGGTACTGTGGAATCCGCTACAAGTGAACTTTGAGGTAAGCAAAGTGTGACATTAGATCCAAACTAACTGGGTCCCCGTCATGCGCTTGTAGAAATACACTATTCTTTTTTTTTTTTTTTCTCCGAACCTGATAACCTGTGTCTGCAAGTCTAATGGGTTGGAACTATGTTCACCTCGTCCGAGGATTATCTCAACGTGACAATTTTAAAATATTTAATTAATGAGAAGAAATTTCAACTAGACGGTTTGATTCTGAATTTTATATTTTTAATATCCGATCCAAACCATTCTAGAATAAAAATGAAACTGCATTTTAAGGTTCCGTTTATGCAATATCTTTTTTTTTTTTTTTTTTTTAAGGTTCCGTTTATTGCAATATTCTTTTTTTTTTTTTTTTTTTCTCTTCTTAAATTTTTTTTTTTTTTTTTTTCTCTTCTTAAATTCTTAATATTTGGCAAAATCTGAAAATATAGGTTAAATTTAAATTATAATTATTGCAAAACAATATTGCATTTAATATTTAGTTCGGTAACTAAAAGTTTTTACTAAAATTGAACCAAACCGAAAAATTAAACTTTCTTCAAGTTAATTAAAAACTGTATTTGAATCAAAGATTGAAAAACCGAAATACATCGGTTTAGTGCAGTTTTTCAAATTTTGTAATGTTTGCTGACTCCACTCTATTTCAACCGACGTTAGTTAGTAAAATATATTCTTTAATAAAATTTACTCTCAGAAATCAAGATTCGAAATCTAAAGTTAATTGTTTTTATATTAAAAAAGGTAAATAAATTAAATACCAACCATAAAAATTGTGTAACATACATTTCGAACCAAGTAATTTTCTTTGTCCAAATCATACTCTGCTGGGAAAAATATGAAAATATGGACGAGCTAATTACAAATGGTTAGGTTTTGTCGGCAAACTATGAGTGAGAACGTATTCTATGGATACTTTAGTTAGAATTGTGAGATTATGAATTTAAAATTTAGCAGTGAATAATTAATTAAAAAAATATAGAAAAAATGACACGATCTAATTAATTTTCGTACCTCTTGTAAAAAATATTGAGAGGTCTCCTATTCAAGTTTTCTCCACCATAAAGGTTGTTGTAAATTTAGACATCTTATATATATATATATATATATATATATATATATATATAATTATATATTATATAATATATATATTATATATATATATTATTAAATATATATAAATATAAATTAAACATGTATAGAAAATATGACATTTTTAAATTATAAAATAATAATTATTGTCGTTAAAATACAATAATTTAACTTTTCTGTAATATTTTTTGAAATTCTATTTTTTTCAAAAAAGTAATTTTCTATATAAAACTTTGAATTTTAGTAACCAGGACCTGAAATAATGTTGTATTTTTAGTATTATTGGAGCTAAATGTGCTTATTTACACACACGAACATCTATGACTCTATCTAATCTAACAGAGTGAACTCTTTATTGCAAATATAAATCGGTTAGCAATTGTTAAAAATAAAAAAAATCTCAGAAATAGAGCTTTTGGAATTTATAGCTTTGAAATTTTTGAATCAACTACTAATTGATATTTTTATGAGCTTCTGAATAAAATTATTGTCAAAGGTGTTTGGTTTGACCTTTTTTTTTTTTTTTTCACTTTTCATCTAAAAAGTAATTTTTAATATACAATAAATTTTTAAAATAAATATAGTGAAATTTCTGGTATAATTATATAAAATAATTTTACTTTTAAGTAGCTTAAGTACTTGGTTAATAAATACTATTTAAAAGTATGTGAAAAAAAATTTACATTAATTAAGTGAAAATTTTAAGTTTTTTTTTTTTTTTTTGAAAGGCAATTGAAGAATTTGTTAAAACTAGAATAATATAGGTATTTTAAGAAAACATTATATATATATATATATATATGAGTGTCAATGAGGAGGAATAATGGGATTATCTATAATAACTTTAGTGAAAGTTTAGAAATCTTAAAATATTCTTAGTCATTAGATAATTGATAATAGTTTGAATTTTTAATTGTTGATAAATTATAATTTTTAATACTTTTTTTATTAATTGATTAACAAAAGTATATTATTGTATTATTTTAATAATAATATTTTTTTGAAAGGTAGTATTGTTATTTTAATATATTATTCTAATTGAACTTTGAAGCATTCGTTGTTTACAATATCAATTGTTTGAAAAAACAGATCATTATTTTAATTTTAAAATAAAATTCAAAATGTCAAAATAAAAAATAAAAATATCTATAAAAAAATATTGTTTCACACTTTATATATATATAACTTTTAAAATTTTGATTTTTTTTATTTATATCTATTTATCTATTATCTATTTATCTATGTCTAAAGTTCTTTCACGACTCAAGGTGATTTTATCTTATAAAATAATATTTTCATTTTATTGTCTTAAATATTTTATTAAATATAATTGACTTTAAAGATGTCTATATCCATATTAAAATTTAGTTTTAAGAAAAATACTATTCGATTGATATATGAATATTTATTAACATATCAACATTATAATTAAATAATCTAAAAAATATAAGAGAAAAATATCAATCATTTTAATACTATAAAGAATAACAATTAAATGCAGTATAAACAATGAGTAATATCGAATACTAAAACGTTGCAATGAATAAATGAGTAATTTCTGATTGTTCATAATAAAAAAAAAATGACCAACTTAAAAAAAAAAAAAGGAAAACCTCGGTTGATTACAAGACTATAAATATCTAAAAAATATAAGAGAAAAAATATAATCATATTTAATACTATACAAGAATAAATTAATGAGTATAAACAATGAGTAATATCGAATACTAATAACGTGCAATGAATTAAATGAGTATTTCTGATTGTTCAATAATAAAAAAAAATGACAACTTAAAAAAAAAAAAGAAACCTCGGTTGATTACAAGACACTAGAAGCATAATACACTGAATAAGGATAATACATTAATATATACAATTCACCTAGTACGCAAAATACAAGTTGTGTGGCAGCCTAGGGCCAAACCAATTCAGGCCAACACGACTTTGTTCTTGCACTAGAAGCAACTCAATAGCCTAAAAGGCCTGTTGCTAATCTAAGGGTTGCCCATTGTTATGTACTTATTTACACAATTGTGTTTAACCGATGTGTGATTTGTTTAGAGTGTTACGAGTTGACATACGGATTAGACGAGTAATTCGTTTATTTATAGGTAGATATAACCACTCCAACTAAAATCTTATTTAAATTTTAATGTTTTATTAATTTTTTTTTATTTTAGTTGTGAATTTTGAAGAATTTATGCATTTTATATATACAAATTTATTTTTAAATATAATTTGAGTTATATAGGTTAAAACTTAAAACATTCTAAAAAATTTAAAGTGAATCATATATAGATCAATATGATCCAGTTAATCTGTTTATGATATTAGTCGGGTTACTAGACAAATTATATGGGTCATATATAGGTCAACATGACTTATTTAACATGTTTATGATATTAAGTGGGTTATACATGCCGTATTCGTATTACTTATTGTGTTCATATTGATAAATTTAATATAATTATTCAATGGGTCGTAATCGTATCACAGGTTAAGCAAATCTGTTCGAACTTAATACGCGAATCTATTTTATCTAATAATTTTATTTTTTAATATAACGTCGAACATTGCGCGGTTATAACATCAGTATTTTTTAAGGAGATAATCATATGCAAACGTTGCTTAATCTGGCATCATTGTATGAGACAAGTACACTAATACCCATACAGTAATTAATTTGTTGATGCACTCATACGACACTAACTAACTACGACACTCAAAACCGACGCGATTTCCTCTTAATAGCGCGTGTATTCATCTCTCCCGTTGACGTCATAAAAAAGATACTGATCATCTCATCCGATTAAACAGTGCTGTGCACTCACATGCCTCACGCGTAATCCATCTACTCCAACAAATTTTTCCAATTTTATTTTTTTCTCAAGTATAAACGTTGTCCTTCTTTCCTCCAATTGCCCCATTGCGCGTGTACAAAAATTAGCATCCTTTCTCCCTCTTTCGATCATCATTGAAATTTATTAAACCCATACAGGTCAACTCAGTGAGTCTCTTGAGATATTTTCCTTGTCTCGCCGAGTCTAAGTATCTGACTCGATTTATTTGAGTTTCGGATCTCTCGGCGATGAAGAACGGCCTCGAAGTTTTCGATTTCAAGGAAGAAGACGAGCTTGCTGAATTCGCAGCTGGTAAAATCGTTGGCAAATTTAAAAACCCTAGCCTTGACAATCCCGACTTTTTGAAGTGCGAATCCCTCGAACGCGGTACCGTTTCTTTAAGCTTGCCTTTTCTCTGTTTTGGCCTTCGATTTTTATTTTTGCTTTGCTGGTTGTTTCAAGGGTTTCCTTTTATAGAAGGTAATTGTGAAAACGGCCTCCAATTGTGGCTGAATAAGTTTTATCGTTTCAGTTCGGTATTGCAAATTGGGAATTGGATTACGAAATCAATACATTTCATTAGTTTGATTCGGTTACTATGGTAACTTCAAGTTGTAAGACTCCCTCAACTCCCAATCATGATTTTATTGGCGACATTTTCTCTGGGAGCTGGTTAGGGACTTTCTTTAAGGAAATAATACACTTTTATCATGTCAAGATTATGCAGAAGAAGTTTCTAGAGCACAATATAGTGTATGTGCTTCTAATAATTCAATGCAATAGGTTATTTGTTCATTTATTGTTATTTTTTTTGTTTGATATGCTAAAATGAACTATTTCCTCAACCATTCTATCATGAACAGCTGTTGAAACTTGATCCGTGCTTTAGCTTTTCCATTGTTGTCAAGCGTTTTTTTTATTTATTTTTCATTTACAAAGAGCTATGTACTTCGTTTGTTTCTGCATAATTTGGGTTCAGTAGTAATGAGGTTTGTGCAATTATGGTTCAAGGCTGCATTGATCGTGTCAGAAACTCAGAATTGTTGATAGATTGGAAGGGGATTAAAGTCAAGTTACAAAGCCTGTATTTCTTGAGGTTGGTTAGAAATTTGCAGAGGGATTCTAAAGCATCTTGTGGGAAGACTTCTACCTTAAAATTTCTTATCCCCCACTCTTGTTGTTTCAAATTTAGTTTTTTTTTTTTTCTGTCATTTGGTGTTATAGAGCAGTTTGTGGATTGTGGCAATTCTGTCATTATGAGTTTATTATGCAATAAGAAATTTAAATGTCACGTTGCTCATAGAATCATGGCAAGTCTGAAACCCTTCTGCTATTCTTATAAATGTCCATCTGTTTTATGTTTGATGTCACTGTTTTGATCTCATGTATTTATGCTTGTCGATTTGATATTTTACTAGTAAATTAAAAAATTTATTGATGATGTAATCATGGTAAACACCTTTCATTTTATAAATAATTTTGTCAGCTGTGTCTTCAGTTACCCAGGAGTCTGATGTTAGAAAAAAGGAAATTGGGAGTATAACTTGTGTCGATGCCAATGAAATTGAACGCGATAATAGTGCTAATAATGCTACTACATGTGCTCCTTTGGGAATGGCTGGAGAGGACTTTGGTTCCAGAGAAGACAATTCTATCCTAGATGCTGCATTCCAATCAGAATCTCTGAGTCGTAAGAAAGACCCTTGTTCTACAATGGATAAATATGAACCCAAAAGTTCTTCTACTGAGCAGGAGGCAGGGGTTTCATGCCATGACGCACAGTCACCTGGGAAAAGACAATCAAATGGTGTCCTTGCAGACTCTCTATGCAATGTACTAGGGCTTTTCACATGTTTAGTAAATTACAATTTGAATCCTGGGATCATTTTTTTTTCCCTTACTGTTCTATACAAAATTCATGCGTACTTTGTCCAAAAACTGCAGGGTGGACCAGTTGGTTTGAAATCAGATGCTGATGGAAGCATGAACGAGAGTTCTCCATCAAGTCCTGCTTCTGGAATTGCAGAGGATGGTGGTATTTCCTCCTGATGTTTATTTACTGAGTGGTGTGTTGTCCATGGGCATTCAAATCATGTATTTTGATATCTTACTGTACTTTGCTGCATGATTTCAGCTACTTTAAACGGTCATTCATCAGATAATTGTTTCAGCACATCAGAAATGGTATAGTATTTTATCTTTCATGAATGAAAGTAAGAGTACTAAATTGAAAATTAGTTGACATCTCTGTTTGAAAGATCCAACCTTTTCGAATCTTTAGATTATTCACTTGATAATTTGTTGGTTTTCTCATTTTAGTTTGCTCTCACATAGCCTTGTACGTGTAGCATTTTTCTATAACACCATGGAATTAATTAATATATCCTCTGTCACGTAAATTCTTGAATTTTTATCTGTGCCATTGGGTGTAATTAGTTGCCCAAGTATTAGAAGCATTTTGGGCTGTTATATTCAGATGCTATTGGGGGACAAAATGCTCTTTGTTCATATTTCTTGTTTAATGTAAAACACACTTTATGTTTTATTTTATTATACCTCCTTTTTGGTTAGTAAGTGATGTTTATGGCATTCTGTAGAATTGTCTTTGCTTATACTATTTTCCAGATACTTGCATTACGTGTCACTGTCAGTCTATATTGTGTTGTTGCTTGCTTGTAGAAGGAAGGATCTACTTTGGTTCAAAGTGATATTCTGCGTTTAGTTAAGATTCAGGCTACTGTCTGATTTTGTTTAGTGGTCAAAAGCTTCAAGATTGCTGACTAAACCTTTTCGTGAAACTTGCAGGATATCGTAAATATTGGAGTTGATTATGTTTTTTATCGGGATAATTACTGTACTGGATGCCTGGTAACTTTTTCTAGTGATGGCATTAAAATCAGTGGTATGCTTTCACATGGAGATGAGGAAATCTTTAGATTTGAGAGGGGAATTGATGATATTCTTCATATTGAGTCGCAACAACTTCAAAGGGTGAGCTCTAGTTAACATTAGAGGGGTATCTTGTGAATTGGATTATCCTTAGTTTGTGAAAGCTTTAGTTTCTTATGTGTGTTATTTGCAGTATGGAGCTGTCATCGTTAAGCTTGACATACTGTCAAAGGATGCTGTTCAAGCCACTAATGCCTATGGTATGGGCTGGTAGCCTTAAAGAGATTTAGTGCTTCATGTGTTTTGTTTATTTTCATATATTATGTAATTCATACTAACTTCAGTAACATTTTTCTCCTGAAATTATTGATGTTTCTCCTTATTTTTTGAGCGTGTGCTGACCGCTCTATTCATTTTTTCTTGCTTTGATATTCTCATGATACATATTAGACATTAACACTTTAATTCCGGATATAAAGAAAACCAAACTATATACATACAATTGGCTTCAGTTTGTGGTAATCTAGTTGCTATCTAGAATGTAGCTTTTATTAGTTTATCCTCATTCAAAATTTTCAATATCACGTATGATTTCACTGTTCTACAGTTCTTTGAAACTTCAAATTCCTGTTTTATTGATTTTGTTTTCCATTTAAAATCTATTAGGGGTTGAGCAGCTAGAGTTTGCAGTTGTTGAGCCCAACTGGTCTGGGAAACTGGAAGAGATTGTATCGGTCAATGTTAAATATTTGGCTTTATCTACCATCGTGGGAGAGTAAGTTTTTCAAATTTTGCTGGTATAATAGTGGTGGTTTTAGAACATTGTTCCCTCATAGATTAATGTAATTGAATAGATTTTTCTTCTTTGTATGAAGATTGATTGGCTAATGTTGAATTTCTTCCACGGGATCAAGTTGATAATGGTGGATGTGATTATCTATTGTAATTTATCAATATTTTTCTTTCTTATCTTATATAATGTTATTTTTTTCAAATTTAATATTTTGCTCTTATTAATAAAAATAATTTTATTCAATACTCTTAACTTTTTCCATAAGGTTAAAACATATAGTCAGTAAATTTATCATGTATGTAATCTATTAAAAATCACTTTAATATTATTATCACAGAAATAATTAGTGATTTTTTAAAAATTTTGACTATTTATTTTATTTAAAATATTATAATATAGTGTTTATTTTCAATTATTTGCTAAAAATGTTCAAAAACGGGAAAAAGCGTAGCTCAAAAACCCGCGTTAGCTCGTTTTGGTACTATTACAGTGAAATTTAATTATTATTAAATATTATTATATAAAATGAATGCAAATTATTTTATGATGGGTTGCAATATAAGGATGCAAAATGTCTTACTGCCTTATTTATGTTCAAAAACGGGAAAAAGCGTAGCTCAAAAACCCGCGTTAGCTCGTTTTGGTACTATTACAGTGAAATTTAATTATTATTAAATATTATTATATAAAATGAATGCAAATTATTTTATGATGGGTTGCAATATAAGGATGCAAAATGTCTTACTGCCTTATTTATTTGTTGATAATTTCATTGCTGTGTGGTTTTTCCTTATTTATTTTTCTTGAGCATTTCATCGGTTTTCTTGTAGTATGGAAGGCAGAATAGATGGCAGGGACTTACATCGACAGAGGTCTTATTTTCCAACGTGAGTGACGGCTATCTTTTTCCTCTTCTCTAATTTTCATATGACGTTACTTTTGGGGCATTGGTGGTATCTTTGTGCTACTTTGTCCACCTGTTGTCTCTCATCTGCTGTTCATGTTCATCAGTGTTTCTATTTCTACTTATGTATAAAACTGTACTTTGTACTTTTGTACCTTGCTGCAATAAATTTTGGTTTTAAAATAATTTGTACTCAGTATTATGGAATGCTTGTATGTGATTAAAAATATAAATGGATCACATGTCGTCTCAAGGGAATGGCAAGGTGAATGAAGTGTTTTGTTTTGAACTGTACCAATTGAAAAGAATAAAAGAAAAGGAGAATTTTATTTGCTTCAAATTCTGCCAATAATAAGAAACATAAAAGAGAGATCTTTTGTGGTGGCTTCCTGTAACAGAGTGCCCAAATATCATGTAAACTACTTTTGATGGTCTTTGTCATAGTTCACATATATCAGAGTCAGAGCTTATGTGATTATGTTTGAGCAAACTCATTTCTAATAGTTACTGTCCTTTCTTACCCTCTTTTGAAAATGTAAAAATGTAAATCTGTTCAAGAGCATTTGAAAATTTTTGATTAATGGAGGAACAATTTCACCATTTCTGCTCAATTAGACACGCAAGCACTTCCAAGGTGCTGCCTGAATAAGGCAATCTTAAAATTATCTTCAAATGGCAATGCTTTAGGAAATGTTAAATGGAGTTTCCAGGGGAGTTCATTGCCTAGCCACAATGTCTCCTCATGAAGATTCTGCAACCCTTGTGTTTCAAAGCCACTTTTATCAAATAGGCCTGTGATGTGATGTGCTTTTGTGCATTGATTTTATCCTTATCATAGTTTGCCTCTGAAACAACGTGTATGCTACTGTATTGCCTGTGGTACGAGTATTATGTAGCACTGAAATGGAGAATAAAATGTATATGCATTTGTTTTGAAAAACTATAACATGTTGCTAAATACTCTTGGGAAATTACAGTTTTGGAGAGGCTGTTGAAGATGTTGTCTATCCAAAAGGGGATTCAGATGCAGTTTCCATTAGTAAGAGAGATTTTGATCTACTTCAACCTGAGACATTTATCAATGACACGATTATTGACTTCTATATCAAGTAAGTCCTTTTTCATGCATCATATGCCTTCTTTCAAATACCTGTGGGTTTCCAATTCTTGGAATTAGTTTTAGAAAATAGGTGAGGCCTTTTTTTTTGGGGACCTGTTCCATTTTTATTATTTATTTTGTTTAAGTAGTAGACATGATCATTATATATTCAAGTAATCATATAGTTAGCCTTCATTGGTGTAGCAATATGACAGAAGTACAGCTCAACTCCTACATTATTTGCAACTTCTGTTACTTGTTTTCGCTATCTATGATTGTTTATACACTTAAAACGTCTTTTGTTTTCCAATTATTTGGTTGCCAGGTATTTAAAGAATCAGATTCCACCTGAAGAAAAGCTTAGGTTCCATTTTTTTAATAGCTTTTTCTTTCGTAAGCTTGCTGATCTAGACAAAGATCCATCCAGTGCTTCAGATGGTAGGGCTGCTTTTTTACGTGTTCATAAGTGGACAAGGAAAGTGGATATATTTGGAAAAGACTATGTTTTCATCCCTGTGAATTTCAAGTAAGAAAGTGGATTTAAAAGAACCTTGTGCATTCTCTGAGATGTGGTTTTATTGGTATTAAACTGATGCAATATGTGATTTTTGATGTTAGTCTTCACTGGAGTTTATTAGTAATATGCCATCCTGGTGAAGTGGCTGGTTACAACGGTGAGTTCTTGAGAGGTCTTCTGTGATGTCTGTTTGGAAAGCTGCCTTTTATTCATATAAATTGTACTGTATTTCAGATAAAGACCTGGGGAACTCCCTTAGGGTGCCATGCATATTGCATATGGATTCTATCAAAGGAACTCATGCGGGTCTCAAAAACCTTGTGCAAAGGTATCCCCGAGTTGTTAAAATTCTCGTCTTTTCAAGCTTCTCTGATTATTGATCTGAATTGGAAAATACACTCTTATCAATTTTCTTTCTACCATAATGATATTCGTTTCTTATGATTTTATCTATTTAAGTGGAGTTAAACTAGAGGGCGAGTGAAAAGGCATTTTGCACCTAATAGTCCAGTCAAGTCATCTAGTGTTTCTTTCAGCCGAAATGTTAACTTAGTGTAAGGGTGTTGAGATTCTAACGATTTCTTTGTTAAGTGCTTTGATGGAAATATGAAAATATCATTTTCTATCTAGGACTGAACTGGTATATTAAAAAAATATGAAACTTGTGTTGATGCCCCTCTGGAATTCATTCAGCTAAAATCTCACATATAATGTTGATTTTCACCAGGATTTTGGTACAGATGCATTTATAACAAACTTCTCCACTTCATTCTGTATTGTCTTTTCTTTGCTAGCCTTACGTTGGAACAAAGACACTTTCCTGGAAGCTGCATGCTGTCACTTACTTATTTGTTGCTTTTTTTCCTGAAATTCACAGTTATCTATGGGAAGAATGGAAAGCAAGACAAAAGGAGACATCAGAAGATTTATCTTCAAAATTTTTGAATTTGCGGTTTGTCCCACTTGAGGTATTACGCCACTAACTGTGATATTTAGCTACTTCAGTTCATAGTGTAGTCAGCAGTGTTAACAAAATCAATTGGCATTAAAGTTACTTCTAGCCGCTGAGGTACCATAATAAGGAATAGTGTCTAAGGGTTGGTTTCACATGGTAATCTTTGGTTCAGGCTTGCAAAATAACTTTATACCAAAATTCAGGCCTTTGGAAAAGTTGTGTTCTCTCCAAATTGGAAAGTATTGCAAATTGTAACAGCATTATGATAATTTTGAAATGTTTTTCCTATATTAATTAGCTTTGCATTGATAGTAATTTGATTAGAGCAGATATTTGAAACAAAGTGTTCATATAGCCGACCTCAATTAGTTTGGACTAAGCTTGGTTGTTGGTATTGTTGTTGCTGTTAAGGCAGATGAGGCTAAAGCAAAAAATTAAGTTTCTATAACAGCTTAAGCAATTTGCTTTTGAGTAGTAAGGAAAAAGAAATCTATAGATTAATCATAGATGATGATCTCATCGCGACGAGCATCGTCTAGTTACAGCCGAGTAGGGAAAGAATTTCTTGCTATTCATTTTCATAAGTTAGCCCAAACTCATTTAATTTGTTGACAAAATTTAGTTATTTCTACTCGTATTTGATGCTGAAGAGTTCAAGAAAAGTTATTTTTGATTTGTTGCATAATGTATTAAATCCCTTTTTGTGTTAATTTAAAACATTATTGCGCTATGCTTTAGCCTCTTTATGTGAATGCATGCAAAAGAATTGGCTTTATGTGCATACTGTGTTGTTCTGACATTTAATGCATGTTCATTTCAGTTGCCACAGCAGGAAAATTCATTTGATTGTGGCCTGTTTCTGCTCCACTACCTGGAGCTATTTTTGGCCGAGGCTCCTCTGAACTTCAGTCCATTCAAAATAAATGAGCTTTCCAAGTTCGTAAGTGGATTTCACTCTGTCGCAAGTTCCTCAACAATATTATCCTTTAGGGAGGGCTATCTTTTAGATTGCATTAGATAGTCATATCAATCTTGGCAATTGAGTATGGATAACATACTGATTCTATAATTGTACAAATCATAAAAAAATTTTGAGAATAAGAAGATGAAATATATAACCTTTATTATCTCTGTATTCAGTGATGAAGGTACTCTGAACTTCTATTGTAGTAAACATGGTCTACGATGAGCCTGCTGCTTGGCTATCCATTTGATTGATCTTCTGCATATGCTTATTTGCTTACCATTTATGTTTGATTTTCTTTTCCTTGACAGCTTAATGTGGATTGGTTTCCCCCTGCTGAGGCTTCTCTGAAGCGTACTCTAATCCAGAGGCTAATTTCTGGGCTCCTTGACAATTGTTCTAGGGAGCTCTCTTCTGGTAATTGCAGTGATGAACCAGAGTCTAGTTTTCCAGAAAATAATGTGAAAGGGAATAGAGTCGAGTTTGCTTCAGAGAGATGCACTCCAACTGTAGCTTGTCATGGAAATCTATCAAGTTCGGACACCAGCCAAGGGATCGAAATCACTCTATTGGAAGCATCTTCTATGAGGAATTCTGATTGTGTTAATGATCCAGGCCTGGTTCTCAGGGAATTTTTTGAGCCAGGAGTTGCTGCAGGTTCATTACTTGCACACTGTTCATCCTTTGACCAGTCATCTTATTACCGTCTTAATGGTGCTATGTCGCAACAGATAGAGGTATCAATATTTTTTCACTATTGTAGCAGAATAATTTATCCTATGCAATTTTAGATTATCTGCTATTACATATGTATGTGCGTGTTAGATCTTATTTTTGTTTGATAAATTTACTGATGTTTGTACCTTTCACCACAGGATGATGCAGAAGATGGGGAGCAGTTCATGTATTACCCTTCTGGAGATCCAATTTTTCAACAAATTCCTTGTATGACACCTCAAGCGGGTTCTATTCCATATTCACTCAGAGGTTTTGGGGCCGAGCCTTCTTGGAATCGAGGAATTTCTATGCAAGGAGAGGATGATGACTCATCTCCAGAAACATCAGAATGTGCCTCTGATGATTCTGACATAGGGATTATCGAAAATCGCCCAGTTGAGAAAGATGTAGATCTTTGTCGAGAAGAGAAAATTGATAAAGTATCTCAGTCAATGGAAAACATAAAGTGTTCGACACAGACACTTGCTTCTGGCTCTGTCGAGACCCTGGTGACTTCTGCCATTCAAGGTACTGAAGACTCTGAAAGAATACACAATGGTGATGAAAATGGTGATCTTGCCTTCAGTCAAGAAGATCCAACTACATTGCATGAAGATGCCAACACAGTAGAAAATGGATTGCATCAACACTTTGACGAGAAGGCAGAGATCACCGGCAATGATAATATTCAAACTATGGGTGATAATGTGATGGCAAAATCAGGTGAGAAAGAACCAATCAATGATAGTGTGATGACAGAATTACCTGAGAAAGAACCAATCAATGATAGTGTGATGGCAGAATCAGATGAAGAACAAGCTGCAAAAAGGCGAAGGGTTACTCCTCCCCATGAAGAAGGGGAGGAAATTCTAGGCGGAAGCCTGTCAAAGGATCTACACTTGTAATTAGGCTGCAGGTGGAAATCTCGGTCTTGATTTTTGTTTAACATAATTGTGAACATGGATCTCACTAGACGACATGCCATTCTGTGAATAGTATAATGGCTATATTTTTAACTACGATTATGATTAGCAATTACCATGTGGGTTGCTCTTGTAGGAGAAGTGCTCGGTTCTTGTGTTAATATCTATTATTCAAGTCATGAAATTAGGACTGCAAATGTATAATGTTTTCCTTGGAAGCTGCATGAAGAAGATGATACAGAGTCATTGGTTTATTCTCTTCTTCTGGCCAAACAGAACCTGCGAGTCTCGCAACCCATTGTTATGTTCTTTATCCTTTTTTTTTTTTTTTTTTTTTTTTTTTCTTCTGGCCAAACGAACCTGCGAGTCTCGCAAACCCATTGTTATGTTCTTTATCCTTTTTTTTTTTTTTTTTTTTTTTTAATTAAAATTTTAAACAAGAGTTAAAAATACAACCTCTAACAATATAAAATGAGAATATTATATCATTAAAATTTATTAAATCTTTTTATTTTTAAATTTTTATTACTATTATTAATAGAATAAGTGTACTTATTAGTCAAGGTGGCTAGAGATTTATGATGTGATTTTTATGATTTTTCAGTTTCAATTATATGTATTCTCAATTCAACATTCTAGTGGAAACAAAATATATGAATTTAAACATGAGAGTTACATTTTATTGGACAATCAAATTAGATAATTTACTAAATAGTTGAAAATTTTTTTTTACCTATTACTGAATTTTTTTAAGCTCAATTAAAAGTATATTTATATATATAATTTTTTTTTGAAAAAAACAGAGTTCCGTATTAATCAAAAAAAAAAAAAAAAAAAAAAAGAAAAAAAAAGGAGAAACAAACAAAATAAAGGTTAAAATCCCAAACCGGTGAAGGGCTGCCAACACATAGCCCATCCTCTTTTTCTGCAAACTGTAAGAAAAAAAAAAAATAAAAAAAAAAAAAAAAAAAAATTACAGACGTCTGTGATCTCTTCTTCTCGACAGAGAAGCGAAACCTCCACTGTGTCTTCATCACTTCCAAAAGATACGAAATTTGCTTTGATTTTCTCACTGTTTGATCAAATTTGGTAAAGAGAAAATCTAGGATTAGGGTTTCTACTTCGAATCAGGGAAAAATGAAGCAGCTATTGTACAGTCACCATAACCAGTCTCAAAGAAAGGCATTTGCGGGTCTTTTCGTCCTTCTGCTTCCCATTTTCCTCCCTCATCTTTTCAGCCCATTGGGCCGAGCCTGGCCTTCCCTGTTCTCTGTAGTCCTTTTATCCAAGATTCCCTTCCTCTGTCTCTCTGTGTGTTGCTTCTATAAGGATTGATTGTGTTTTGAATTGCATTGCAGGAATGGAATGCTCCAAAACCTAGGCATTTGCCTCTTCTAAAAGCTGCCTTAAATCGCCCAATTGTAAGTAGGTGTCCCTTTATTTTATTTGGGGGCTGATTTGTGTTTTTTTTTTTTTTTTTTTTTTTGACGCCTATTATGGTTTTTTTTTTTTTTTTTTTTTTTTTTATATTCCTGAATCAGTGAAATATTACTTTTTAGGCTTTTTTTTTTTTTTTTTTTTTTTTTATATTCCTGAATCAGTGAAAATATTTACTTTTTAGCTCAGTAGGCAACAGTCTGAGCTTTGGTCTCCTTTGCCTGATCAAGGATGGAAACCTTGCATTGAACCCGTAACTATTCCTTGTAAGTGTTTAAATAGTGTGTATGTGATGTTTGCATAATATGCATGTGATTGTTCAATTTCTAATGAACTTGCATTACATTTTGAAGCATTGCCCCAAACATCTCGAGGTTATATCCAGGTATTTCTTGATGGAGGGTTGAATCAGCAAAGAATGGGAGTAAGTAACTACCAAGGAACATTTCTGTAGTATTATGTGTCGATTATTGTTGTAATTACCAATTTTATTTCCACTTAAGTAATTGTGGTTGGGGTCTTTTTTTTTTTTTAATATTTTTTACTTACTTTCTTTCTCTTATTTTGAAGATATGCGATGCAGTGGCAGTTGCTAAAATACTAAATGCAACGCTTGTGATCCCACACCTTGAAGTGAATCCTGTCTGGCAAGATTCAAGGTAATTTATGGGAGTGAGTTGCCTTAGAAACATTTCTCACATTGTGAATTCCTGTCTAAAATTGAGAGCTTAAAATGGAAATAATATCTGTTTCTGCAGTTCATTTGTGGATATATTTGATGTGGATCACTTCATTGATGTCCTACATGATGAAATTTTTATTGTTAAAGAGCTCCCCAATGAGTACTCTTGGAGTACACGTGAGTATTATGCTACAGGTATACGAGCTACTAGAATCAAGACAGCGCCTGTCCATGCTTCAGCTGACTGGTATCTGGAAAATGTTTTGCCTGTATTGCAAAGGTTGGTAGATTATGTAAAGCCGATTTTGTTGAGATTTATTGCAACTTGTGGAGTTTCTTACTCAGAAAAAGTATTCTATTCCATGTGATTTGTTAAGTTGATTGTTTGGTTTTTTCTCTCAAATTTATGTATCCGTACGAAGTTCACTTCTTTCCTTTTTGCCCTTTTGCATATCCTGCTAGTTGCTAATATAGTAATACAATCTCTTTTTGGCATTTTGTTGTAAATTTATTGTCATTTCTTTTCCTAGTTAATTCATTAATGAATGGCTGAAGACATAAATCTTCCTGCAACATTCTTATTGAATACTTCATATGTAGGAAAAATTGAAAGAGGGAGATGTCAGTTTGGTTGTGATATTCCTTTGTTTAGTTTTGGGAGATTCTAAAATGCTTACATGATATCATACAGTTTGATGTCATATTTTGTAGGTTGATCTCCTTACTGAGCTATCACTGTCATACCTTATCACATTTTCCAAATTTCTAGACTTCATTGGCTTGGCCCTTGATTTTACCTGAACTCAAGCTGAAACCATTTTCCTTTTTCTGATAACCTTTATAAAACCATCTGCTTGGTGATGTACGATGTGGGATCTAAATGTTTAACATGTATTCATGTACCAACCACTTTTAAAAAATTATTAGTGGTGTCTAATTGAATTGCATGTCATTTGATGGTATTTTCTTCTTGCAGTTATGGAGTCGCTGCTGTTGCCCCATTCTCCCACCGTTTAGCTTTTGACAAATTACCAACTAACATCCAACGCCTGCGTTGTAAAGTCAATTTTGAAGCTTTAGTTTTTGTTCCTCATGTAAAATCTTTGGGAGAGACACTTGTTAATCGTCTCCGCAATCCTTCTGGCAGCTCAAGGACTGAGTTCCTAAGGGAGAGAATAGATGATACTGAAAATCTGGGATCCAGAAAGTTTGTGGTGTTGCATCTTCGCTTTGATAAAGTATGACCCTGAACTCATCTAAACAGTCAGAAAGTTTTGTTTTTGGACTTATTTAACACTCGTGAAGATTTTAGACCATGTTAGATGATATATTCAGATGTCTTTACCTTTGAAAGAATGAAATCTTTTCTCTTCAGTTTTCAAAAATTTACAAGCCCTGGAATGCCCTTAGTAAATATGAAGGTCCATGGTGAAAACAGACCTTTTGGCATTTCCAAGTTTAGAAACTTACAGTATATTGTTGAAGACTGCAGTACCTCCTTGATGAGTAATTTACTTTTTTTACTAGTGGTGTATTAATCACTTGATTTTTTTCTTTTTTTTAATTTTTGAAATGTCTTAATCACTCAAGAATTACTCTTTAGCATTATTATTATTATTATTATTATTATTATTTTTTTGTGTCCTCTTGCCTTAATCTGAACCCTTACAGGATATGGCTGCTCATTCTGCCTGTGATTTTGGTGGGGGTAAAGCAGAAAAACTTGCTCTGGCCAAATATCGCCAAGTGCTTTGGCAAGGAAGGGTATTAAATTCACAGTTTACAGATGAAGAGTTGAGAAGTCAGGGCCGTTGCCCATTGACTCCTGAAGAGATTGGATTACTGCTAGCTGCTTTAGGTTTCAGCAATAGCACTCGTCTCTATCTTGCTTCACACAAGGTCAGTCATTCATTCCGCGCTCCCCCCCCCCCCCCCCGATTGCATACTCTAGCTGCCTTATCGTTTCAGCTTACACTCGTCTCTATCTTGGCTTCACACAAGGGTCAGTCATTCATTCCGCGCTCCCCCCCCCCCCCCCCCCCCCCCCAACAACAACAAAAGAAAAAAGAAAAAACAGAACAAAGAAGCACCAAAAGTTCTACAGAATCTTAGGCACTGACAATTTAGACTTTCATTTGATAAGTCATGTCTAAATGATATATGCTTGATAAAATTTTTATTTTCCTTCCTATGAGTTTTGCAAAAGCTAAAGAATTTTTTCTTTCAGTTATATGCGTGAGAAGCCTAAGAATTTTCTACCTTGAAGCAATTATTTCCCTTCATGGGAAACAATGAAAAGCCTTGGGCTTCTGAAAAGGGAATTGGTCGCTGATGCCCCCCCCCCAACAACAACAAAAGAAAAAAAGAAAACAGAACAAAGAAGCACCAAAGTTCTACAGAATCTTAGGGCACTCACAATTAGACTTTCATGATAAGTCTAATGATATATGCTTTGATGAAAATTTTATTTTCCTTTCCTATGAGTTGAAGCTTAAAGAAATTTTCTTCAGGTATATGGTGGAGAAGCAAGAATTTCTACCTTGAAGCAATTATTTCCCTTCATGGAAGACAAGAAAAGCCTGGCTTCTGAAGAGGAATTGGCTGAAGTCGAAGGCAAGGCTTCATTATTGGCTGCAGTCGACTATTATGTGAGCTTGCAGAGTGATATCTTTATATCTGCTTCTCCAGGAAACATGCATAATGCTTTGGTAAAAAATCTGTTAATTTCTTTTAAAAGATGTGTTTCTTGAATATTGTAGGGCGAATTTTTTTTACTTTTGGTTGAATCCACTGGAAACAGATTTCTGGTGGGCTATCGCTTACAGTAGGTTATAAGTTGTTTATTTGCAACTGTGGAATTTAAGATGAAATGTTACTTGTAATGGCAGTTGGGACATAGAGCTTACCTGAACCTGAAGACTATAAGACCAAACATGTTGCTGCTTGGCCCGCTTTTCCTGAACAAGAGCTTGGAGTGGTCAGCATTTCAGGTTGCAGTTGTCAATGGGCATAAAAATAGACAAGGGCAGGTTAGATCGAGAAAGGAGAAGCAATCAATATATACATACCCTATTCCTGATTGTATGTGTCAATTATAATTGGGTGGATGCAGAAATTTTAGATCTGCAATTTTGGGCATATTTATTTGCATGTGCTACTGTCTTTTTTTTGTCCACTTGTATATATCTGGTATTCTGAACATTTTTGGCTTTGTATTTTGTTCGAAGTTGTGGCAACTGGTAATAGATATGCAGATTGATTTTACTCTTCTCCAATCACCACTACACAAACTTGGTGGATTGTACAATTGAAACAATGATGCTTACAAGAGTTTTGATTGATCGATTTATGAATGAGTTTGGCCGTCTCTCCATCTTTTACACATTCTTGTCTGATCTCTTCTTTCTTCTCCATTTTCTTCTAATTAATCAACTTCCATTCATCTATTCGGGGTTTGCATTTCCTTAGAGAAAAGTATTGGCAAATTTATTTTTCTAGCAATGAAAATATTTTCGCTTTTCGCTTCTTTAGTATTAACCACATGTATCCTCAATCCATTCAACTGTAATTAAATCCTGCTTGCACTACGTTGACAAACTAAGCGGTGAGTTGACCACCATTAAGGGGTTAAGTGCCTTCCGGAAGCATTTGCTCCTTCTGGGGCTTTTTTATTATTTGCTTCATCAACGGGAATTAAATCCGTATCCTTTTAAGTTGCAATCATTCAATGTTCTGCAGTTTTTACATTTTCACTAGTTTTTTCAAGTAATAACCTCAAGTATTTGTAGCAGTCAATAGTTAAGTGACAAATTAAAATGCAGCTCTACACAGAAATATTTGTGGGACAAAGATCATTTATCTACAACCGTTAGTAACTGAGCTCCAGAGGCACCGAATGATCTTAATAGATGATAAACCAGCAGTTAAACAAAGATAATGTAACAACATTTTTTAACAAATGAAAGACATACTGCAGCTAATAAGCGCATTGGCTTTTCAAGGCCTTTATTTTTCCTTTTTTTTTCGGCTCTAATTTTATGAATTATTTACAAACAGCATAACGACAGCTTAAAAAACACAGCTGTCGCATTCCTGCACAATTTGAGTGGTGAAGACTCAAAGTTGCATAGACAACACCAAGAATTTGACCATTTATCTTCATCCAGCTAATCAATCTGACTTAGGAACTATTGGCATTCATCTTTCTTATCCTTTCCAACAGATGGGGGCCCACCTCCATTCCGGCTTGCAGCCAATTCCTTGGACTCTGAGGGGAAAGGAGATGGAGCAACTTCTTCCTCTATTGGAAGTGTTCGTTTTGAGCCCTCCAGAGCAACCCCAAGAACAATGTTCTCCTCCAATGGAGGCCTGGCTACTGATGCTGATGCAGCAGACCTTTCAACGTCCTGTTTAGCCTGGGAAATAGTTGAGGGAATCTCACTTCTTTTAGATTCAGAATATTCTTCAGGTGCTGCCCTTCCCAGAGTTATGTCTTCGGAATTTAGCCCCATGTTCTCCTTCCATGTGTCTTCGATGCTTTCACTAGTTTTCTTTGTTTCAGGATTGTTTGGCACTGAATTATCATGAACCATTTTTGACTGCCAGCGATCAGATGCTGGGGTTGCCAAACCCTTAGATTCAGGGGTGTTTGTTGTTGATCCTGCATTAGCATCTGCTTTGGACTCAGATGTTGAGGCTGCTTCAGCCTTCGCATCTTTTTCCCCATTGGTACATACTGAACGGCTTGAAGCTTTAGTTTTATCATCACCATTGATTTTATAAGAGGGTTCAATCAGCAATAGTGGGCGGTTAGCAACTGCTCCTGAACGAGTAAGAATAGTGTCAGCAGAACGTACATTAGCTAAATCAGCCTCATTGTATATCTTCTGAACAGTACGGATCGGTGTGGCAAGCCGAGCCCGGTGATGGCTTATAACTCTAAGAAGATCCAAGATTATTGCTTCCTGTCACATTGCATTTGTTAATACCGAGTCAGCTAAATCTCGAGTAGAAAACAGCAGATCAAGAGTCAGAACATGCAGAAAATAGAATTGAGGAATTAATCCATGAAACATAACAGACTTTTTATTCAGTCGTAATGACCATTATGCACATAACATCACCCAGACAAAGATTTGATAAATAGATAAACAATAACCAACATTAACCACGGAATCTCTGGCTCTATGTTACAATAGCAATGGATTTTTAATTCTTCTATAAATATCACATGCAATAACTATACAATAAAACTACTCTTACCTTTACACACAGGTATTCTTCAAAATGAGAGGTTTTCACGAAGCATGACACAAAAACCTGCAACATAAGCCAACCAATAGATAGTAAGGCATTAAAGAACATGCAAACATCATGTATCAAATGAAAACACAAGCCAACCACAGGTGAGAAAAACCTTTTAATAAGGGAAATACAACCTAATGAAGTCCAAAAAACAAGTTTAATGCATTTCATGTCTTCAACACCAAAACAGTATATTCTCTCCAAATGTCTACATCTCTTTGTTCTTCACAAACAAAAAGAACAGAGAGAAGGGAATAAGTTTGCAAGAAATTTCTTTTCAGGAACACAACTTTATCTTCAGACAGTGATTACTTCACTGTAAGTCTTCATGGGAAGATATATCTTAATTTCAAGAATAAAGAAGGAAACTTAAGCCTCACCATAAGAGCCTGATTCTCTGGGTTAATATTATCCAAGAAGACTCTTCTGTGCAGCTTTTGCTGCTCTACTTGAGGGTTTTTAGCCAAAACCTTCCGCATATCAGCAACTATGTTCTGCACATAGAATATGCACAATCAAAATCCTTGTCTTGATTGAATAGAGAGAGGAAAAAGAAATCCTACTGACTGTATGTGAAAGTGCTCAAGAATTGGGCAAACTGAGATTGAACCTCACATTAATTTTGTTGACATCCAAGTGACTGATGGCAAGGTGGGTCTTAATTCGCCAATGAGTCTTCTGGCTAAGATTTCTCACAACATTCATAGTGAATTTATGGTTGGGAATGTGAACTGCTTCACGATCATCGCCTCTTATAATTGTTGGTGACCACCAACCCACATGCTGGAACAAGATAAAACATTGATTAGAAAAAAAAAAAAAAAAAAAAAAAAAAAAAAAAAAAAAAAAAAAAAAAAAAAAAAGGTGGGTCTAAAATTCGCCAATCGAGTCTTCTGAGACCTAAGATTTCTCACAACATTCATAGTGAATTTATTGGTATGGAATGTGAACTGCTTTCACGAATCATCGCCTCTTGATAATTGTTTGGTGACCACCAACCCACATGCCTGGAACAAGATAAGAAACATTTGATTAGAAAAAAAAAAAAAAAAAAAAAAAAAAAAAAAAAAAAAAAAAAAAAAAAAAAAAAAAAAAAACATAATTATAAAAAAAAAAAAAAAAAAAAAAAAAAAAAAAAAAAAAAAAAAAAAAAAAAAAAAAAACATAATTATAAAAGTAACCCAATTCCATTTCTTGCTTGCTTTGCAAAAGGAACCATCTCTCTCACTCACACTCATCTTATGTGGTTGCAAATGAAGGAAGATTATGCATGGATACATTATGGACCTGTTTTGCCTTACTATATTGCCTATTTCCTTTTTTATGACAATATCAGTGAAGTGAAGAAAATAGAAACCTCAACAGTTCCAGAAACTTCATAGCCTTCAATCTTTGTCTGAATCCATTCATTCAAAACAAACGGCCGTGTTGCATGGATCATTACACTTGAAAGAAAATTCGTAAATATCTGAATGCACAAAATACCAAGTAAATGAAGATCATCTTCCATATATGAGAATGAAATACAAGCTATAACATGAAGATTTCAAAACAATTCAATAACAGCATAGAAAATTGGATTAATTACCTCACGACCAGCAAGAGTGAGCAATACGGTACCAAGACCTCCAGCCGTGACCCACTTTTGAGTAGAAAAACCCAGCAATTCCATGAACAATGATACAGCAGCAACCCAAACTGCACTATAAACAGCTTTGCCAGCAAAACTAAATCCCATCTGCAAGGGCAAGAAAGAATTTTATGTAATAGCTTAAACATCAGATATCCTCCCCAATAGCTAAATTATAATTTCGTTCAATGTTAAACAAAAATTCACACAGAAAAGGAAAATTCAAATAATGCAAAAATGTTTAAAACAAATTATTTATAAATAACAGTTCTGAGGGAAATAGATAAGGAACTTTTTCATTCGAAGACTATGGCATAATTGTGCATCAATACTTCTGAACCATGAAAGCAATATTAAGGAAACTTGTTGAGAACACAATGCATAACTAATAAATGTAAAGGAAGTTTAAGATACAGTCTGACAAGTATTTGTATTCTTTCAGAACAAAAGCAATATGCTACATGCAGGTCAATTGTTTCAATATGAAGAAGTTATTGGTTTAAGTTGAACATGTCAAAGGGATAAAAGTGTCAACTTCAAGCTTCAAATAGGCTAATAAATATGGAAAGAGAGCCCAAAAGGAAAAAAGGAATTTCTCTGAACTAATCAATTTGCCAGGATGGAGATGCATCATTGCCATTTACCATTACTTGGACCTTGTTTCCGCCAAAAAGCAAACCTACATATCACTTTGCATGATTAAGTGATACAACATCTAAATTCAGTTCCAAGCTAAAGGTTATTTTTAGTTTCAGGTGCTGAAGGCAATCATGCTTAATCAATCTCTGTAACTTCTAAGAGCTCTTCAATGAGGAAATTCAACTTTCTAGTGCAAATACGGCAGCACTATAAGACATGCAGAGGAATCAAAAGATGGTAAACTGTAGAATTCATGGACTTACATTTCTTGCATCACTGGAGTCATTTGTCTCTATGAAGAAGTTTTGTGCCTGTTGAATCAAGCTGTGATGAGGAAACATGGCCATAAAAGAAATTACAATTTGATCCCCAAAAGAAACTAAACGTCCAAAAATAGCCTAGAAAATAGAAAAATGTGACCAAAATGCGATTTTACGAACATTGAATTAAAGCCAACACTAGCAGAAGCAACATAGACTTATGATAACAAAGAGAAAGCTGAAAACACATATTGACAACAGAAAAGAAAACCTACAACAAAAACAACAGATGTAAGTGGCTAAGAGAACACACCAGAAGACAAAATTCAGATGCATGCTTCCAGATTTGGCCAGGAGGCTCATGAATTATGCAAACCACAATTTTTTTAAAAAGGTAATAAAGTCATTGTTGTTTTTTTAAAACTGACTATTAACACATTTGATTAGTTCTGAATAAAAAACATGATGCTAACTGATTAATCAACATCCAAGTGCTTGAACAGACTAAATCCAAATATCATAAGAAGTAATTACAAAGCCTGAAAAAGGTGCAAGAGCAATGGCAAGTGCCCAAACCTTGATATACAATAGGCAAATGCCAACACAGTTGATAATGAACGTATAAAGTTCAGAAGTCGTTGCTTCACAGCTTGGCTTGCTTCTGATTGTAGAACTACAGGATCCAATGCTCTGAAACATGCAGATCACAGTTATTACTAATTGATTGTCTGGAATTGCGTGTCTTTGAAGATTTAACCCAACTTCCCCAAAATACCTGCAAATGAGTATTGCTCCAGCCCATAGCAGCAAAGGTTGAAGATATGAGGTCAGAACATAATGCGAACTGCTTTTACTCCAATTCTTATCAGATTTCTGCAGAAATTACCACAAATAAATAGGTGAGGTGGAAGATTGATTAAAATGAATCTGGAATTGAGGAACTGCTGGTTTAACAGAAGGATCTAGAGTAAAGATAAAATGCATACATGGAGAAAAAAAATTCTGCTCAGACGCATAAGTGGGCCAAGACCCCATGCAGCAAAAGCAATGATACCAACAGCTGGGATCAACTTAAGCACAACAGGACTTCCACGTAGGGCATCATATGACCTACACAATTCATCAAAGTTAAGTAAAGATTCAGTCAAAAATATATTCCATAAATAGAAGAATGAAAAAAAAGTGATTCCTGGAGAAAAGGGCCTAAAATCCTTGTTTAATTGGAGGATTTTTCTGCCTTTGAGACAAGGGGTGCCCGCTGTGCACTCAGGTTTATGTGCAACTATGATTGGTTTCATATCAATGTATATTTAGTGCGTTTAAGCATTTGAAGTTAAAATATATCTTGCAAAGTTATTATCACTTAAAAGTTAAAATTAGAGTTAAAGCAGAATGATAAATCAGCAAAAAAGAATAATAACTACACAATGACCTATCCTAATGAAATTAGTCTCACCATTGAAACTATAACAGCTGCAACTGCAAATAAACTTAATGATCAGATTGAGCAGGGTATTGTTAAAAAATAACAGCCACTGAAAAATGGTAATACAGCGATACATTTCTAAATCAATGCAGGTCAGTTGAGATTGCTTGACACAACATTTACTTTTACCTGAGTTTTAAAAATGAAAATAGATGTGTATATGCATAAAAACTTTTCTACATGGGAAATATACATACCTACTGAGGACCACAGAAGCAGACTTTAGAAGAGGAATCCCATTTCCTCCTCCTGGAGACAGAAGAGATCGGCAGACGAAAGCATTGCAGCTGGAAGGTGCATGGCATATTGGCCTATGTGTGCTACTTAAAAAGTGAAGAGTCCAAGAATCCTGTCTCTGAAGATGCAATATAGAAATTTCCATGGTTTCAGACGCTACTATACTAATACAATAATTCATTATTCATAAACTCATACACAGAATACACACATGCATTACAAGAACAAACTGGACGCATGAACAATCTTCGTGACTTGAAAGCCCACATCTGAAAGCTAAACTTTAAACAACAGTGCTAAACGAAACCATCATGATATCAAGCAATTGCATGTTTTTCAAAAAGAAAACTTATCCCAATCACATCCTCATAGAATAATAATTACTATACGGATAAGTTTGCAAATCTATGAAAAATTACATACCAGACTACGTGATGAAAGATTGACATTAACTACATGTACTCTGTTTGTTCCCTTTCCAATGATTTTCTGTGGATGACAAGGAAATGAAAGAGAATTAAGTTAAAAAATAATATTAAAATTAAATTTGAGCATCTAGACTTAAAAAAAGGAGACATTTTTTTATATGACATTTAAAAAAATAAGGTTACATACAGTATTTTGGCCATAGCAACCCTGACTACTGTGAATCCATAATTCGTGGGACAATTGGATCGAACTAGCTCGTGTCATAGCTGACTTCAAAGTGGAGAAGCCACCAGGATCTCAATTTAAAACTTCGTTCCAACCAAGTTTTACTTTAGTAAACCTGAACTAAGTTTTACAAAGAAAGCGAATGCAGAGATCAAACGGGTATTAGTGTTCTGAGCAAACAGTATAACACCTGCGATAAGATAGATCAATAGACCACCAATATTTCAGTGAATAAACAAACAAAAATAGGTAGGCCAATAACTAACAATTCAGTTATAGGCATTAAAAATTAAGAAGATAAAACACAGATATTTGAAATCTACCTAATCAAAGATTTACTTCATAAGAATTTAACGAATGAAACTCCAAAACGCCTTTCAACGTTCAACCTTCAAATTTTTTCAATTTCTCCTCTTCTTTCAAGCTCTAATCCAAAGCCAAAACCCTAGTTTTGCAATCACCTAAATATAGTCACAATTGGTAACTATTAAATCGCAATTACACAACAAATACAAACACCGTTCATAAAAAGGTGCTTCAAAACACTGCTTCAACAACTCTCACAAAGGGGACGAGACTCTTCCAATAAACAAAGAGAACCAAACCAAACAGAAAAAGCTTTCCGGGAAAATTCGGTAGACCCTAAAGGGGACAAGAAACGAGCAGGCAATGGGTTATCTTAACGAGCGAAACAGTTGCCTATGTTTCCGTGTAGCTTCCTCAAATGGGGAACAGATCTTCGTATGGGGAGGGAGGCTTTTGCCATTTTGGAAATGGAGATTAACAAATTGGTTTGGTACTGTGCTAAAGTGCGCCTTGCGTGTACATTGTCTAGCTGACGTGGTCCAATCAGATTGCCTTGTTTTGGATTTTGTGCAATTTGTTTTTTTAGACCGCTAATTATTTTATTACTGTGCAGAGTTTACGTGGCGACCCGCAAATTTCATTTTTACTTTGGAACTTACGTGGCGATTTGGTGCCTCGAAATTTTCATGGCGTGCACGGATAGGGTAGTTAGTTAGTTTTGTTCCGTTTCACGGAGTGAGTAGTTCCGTTAATGATATTTGTTGAATGCCTTTTTGGCACGTGCAAACCGACAAGTCAACGAAGAATAGAACTCTTATTCCTGTTTTTTTTTTTTTTAAGAAAATTCATTAATAATAAAATTAAGTATTACAAATACTCAATTAGAACAGTCATAACTATCATAATTAATATAATTAATAAAAAGTCCGTTAATCCTTTAACAATAAAAGAACTATCTATATTCTTTTAAATAATAAAACTAAAAGTAAAAAAAATATTGCCGCTTGGAAATGACATTGAGCGATATAAATTTTTGTAGTAGGAACTGGTCCTTTAATTGATTTAGACTGCATAATAACTTCACCAGATCTTCTATACTTATATTGTTTTTTTTTAAAAAACTTGTTATATATGACATGCACGGATGAGTTCATGCCACTATAGTTTAATAGCATCAATATACGAACAAACCGTACTATCAGACTCCATCGATCGAAGATACACATTAATTAAACAATATATAAATTCTCCAACCAAATGAAATCAAATATTATACATTTTAATAACAAACCTTGATAAAACTTTAACCTCCATAAAAGAATGGACAAAAAAACTTCAAATATGGATACAAAGCGGCATGAATGAACGTGTTCATTTATTTTTTACCCTTTATTTTAGAAGCCAATGAAGGAAAATAATTAAGAAAAATAATAAGAAATTAGTAATTCGTTTATAATTATTTTATACTCTTGCGTGTGTGGTACAAATTTATATTTGAAGGGTAAAATTTTTTACGGAAAAAAAGTACTATTATCGAAAATTGACAATCATGCTCTCATTTATTTTTAAACAATAAAATGTGATTTAGTTATTTAAGGGTTATTTTGCCTTACCAATCTAATGAAACTCCAATACAAATTTAGATAATTTAATATAAATAAGTAAAAGTCTAATATTCCTTGTTATATTCACTCCAAATTAAAGAGATATTCAAAATATATAAATCGGGTGAAAAATAAAAGAAATATTATTTTCTTTAATATTTTTTTTCCTTTTTCTCAAACAGGAGAAAACACATTTCTTTAAATACATAGTTATTTTCTTTTCTTCAAAAAAATACTTCCATTTTAGAAAAAATATGTTCTCCCTCATTTGGGAAGGGGATGATATAGTTAATTTTCGACGAATAATAATAATAACAAGGGAGAAAAAAATACCTCCTTAAATTCCAGCTATATTTACATATGTCTCTTTTAACGTTTTAAGACTAATACACGCCTCTCTAAATAGTCCGTTATACAACTACCTCGCTCGGTTCAAAATTAGCCTAATTTTCTCTTAGTCTATCTCCTAAATTAAGGTCAAAAGAAAGAGAAAAATCAAAAGACAATTCTACCCTTATAGAATTAGCTAATTGGACCAGTTCAACCGAAAACCATAAAAAAATTACTGAACCAAACCAAAAACCTTCTAGAATTAGCTAATTGAACCAAAACCACAAAAAAGACTTTCGTTTTCTCCTGGGTGACGTGATCTGAGATCGCAAGCTTTGGTCCAACGTCTCCTCTGTCGCCTCTTAGTTTCTGGCGAGCAACCAATCAAGCTTGGCCAGAGAGTCACATTATCAGCGAAAATGATCTCTTCTCCATCCCGTCGGCTCAACTCTTGGACTTGTGGCCTGCTTCATTCGACAAGAGAGGAGGAGGAAGCGGTGGAAGAGTCTAACAGGTTGATCCCTGGTCTCGCTGAAAAATCGACATAAAATGTGGAAGGAGGCTGAGGTGGAGCCACTCAGTTCAGAAAAACGAAGGCAGCTCACACTCTATCACTGCGCCAGTCGGAAAAGAAATGGAGAGAAAGAGATCGATAGTAAGGCAAAGGCGGCAGGGAGGAGGTAGCAGCTGGCCGGACATGAGCCGGTGATGGGAAAAGTTAAAAAAAAAAAATAATGAATTAGTAGTAATAACATCTCTGCCATGAGAAAGAGAAAGGAAATCAGCTATGCTTAAATTCATTTATTTCTATTTATTTTTTCATAATTCTATTTTTGAAGGCGTTAATCTCACATTGATTGCTCCATGACATTAAAGAGAGAGATGACATTTCCTTTTTCTGTGACGGATTCAAGGAGAGAGATGGAGGAATAGAAGTAATTAATTGTGAAGAAAATTTTGTATATTATAAAAGTTACAATGATCATTTTATTTGCCATTTGATGGATATTTGAGTAATTTTCAACGCAAAGATGCATTCATGCAACGAAAGTAAAAATTAAAAATTAGATACGCTAAAGTCAGTTTCAAAACGTTGAAGGAGAGTTGTATAAATATAACTATAATTTAGGGTCACATTTTTTTTTTCCGGAATAACAATTGACAATCATAAAAGTCTGTTATATTCTAGAGGTTGGATAAGTTCTATAAAAAGCCATCTTATGCGAAAATTCCAAAAATATTTATAATTTCGTGAAATTTTATGGTGTATATTTGGACACAGAGATGACAAATATGTTCCTTGTCAATGTCATTATTCATCCACGAATGGGGCTTGCAAGGCATGTGTACAGATATATATGGCGAGTTCGTACCAATAATATTATATAAGTAATATTCACTTAACAGTTATTACGTCAAAATTATTACAATTGTCTGATTCTACAAAAAAAAAAAAAAAAAAAAAAAAAAAAAAAAAATCAAAAATATATTACAACTTTCACTTATATATGTGAATACATTGACACTAAAAAAGCATATTACGTCTTAAAACATATTCACGAAGCAATTCATGAATTAAAAAAACGTGTTTTTTTTTTTTTTTTTTTTCTAACTACAAATACAATGATGGGAATAGCAGAGGAGAGAGAAGGGAGAGCCATCCCAATTTAAGCTCCAAAGCCTCAAAAAAAAAAAAAAAAAAAAAAAAAAAAAAAACAAATATATTACAACTTTCACTTATAATATGTGAATACATTGACACTAAAAAGCATATTACGTCTTAAAACATATCACGAAGCAATGTCATGAATTTAAAACGTGTTTTTTTTTTTTTTTTCTAACTACAAATACAATGATGGGAATGCAGAGGAGAGAGAAGGGGAGAGCCATCCCAACTTAGCTCAAAGCCTCAAACATATAAGTGCTGCCTGATTCTCTTAAAACGAAGGTTGTTAGCTTTTGTTTGGACAAAAGTATCTTTTTGAAAGAAATTAATAAAATAGCTATGAAAAATATTTAACAAAAAGATTTTTTTTTTCTTTTTTTGATTTGGAAAATGGGAAGAAATTAGTAAAAGAAGTAACATTTGGAATCACTCCAATTTTAGAGAGAAAATCAACAAAGAAAAATAAAAATTTCACTGATTTTATGAAATTAAATAAATGCCACAATTTCATAACGAGAGTATGATTATCAATTTTAAATAATAATATTTTATATTCTCTAAAATTTTATTATTTTTAAACAAAATAAAATATAATTTTTTTATTCGTCATATTTAAATATAAAGGTAAAAAATTAACTATGGAGAGAAAATTAATAATTTATCATTATTTTCATTCTTCTATTTTTGAAACAAAGATTTAAGGATAAACAATAAAATGATCATATTTAATTTTAATCGATTCGATTTAATTTTATTTGAAAATCAGAGAAAATAATAAAATAATAGAAGAAGAGAAGTAATAGACTATTTTTTTTTAATATCACTTTTTGCTCGAGCATAAAAATATGTGAAAAAAATGTAAGAGTTAAAAATGCTCTGTGTAATATGTTTACTGAGATCAAAATAAATAAATTAAATGGCACAACAACTTTCACTTTAGAGTAGGTCATATTAGTTTAAAAAGAAAAATAAAATAAAAGGTTAAAGGTCGTAAAAAAAGAAAGCTGGTTAGCGGTTTGTAATAATTAAGAGTAGAATTTGAAAATTCAAGCCGCCAGTCTTATTTGAATGTTCCAACGAACAGGCAATTCTATTCTAAATCATAGGAATCTCAACGGTCTACAACTACCGGCTTCTACCGTTGGTTGCTGGGCCCACATTTTACTCTTCCCATATGGGCTACAATTAAAGCCCATGTATCCAACACACCGTTAGAGCCCCGATCTGTATTTGGGTAAATATATAGACATATAGCATTCATAAATTATAGGCCTCCTACAATCATGGCAGACTTGAGGGATTACATAATAATATTGTATTAATGATGAAATAATTAAATACCACTTTTTTAAATGAAAAAATATTTTTATTGTGATCCGTTTAGTTCATGGATGAGCCTGTAGACTAAATTTAGGTAAATTTATTCAACTTAATCGAAATTAAAATTTTAAGAATGAATTAACGATTTAATCCAATAATTAAATAATTAATTATTCCAAAAAAATTGTGATAACAAATATTTAAGAGTAAGTCTAATGAATGGTAATAAAACAAAATATAATCAAAGAAATTTGTTTAAATATAAAAATTTCATACTAGTCAAGTAAAAAATAGAATGTACTTAAAACAGGAACCAAAGTTATTTTTCCACATTAACTATTTTATACTATTGTAAATTTGTTTGTGCTTAGAATTTAAATTAACATCGACCCTTTGACTGAAATGAATGAATTTCACAAAATTTTATAGTATGTATTTATAAATCAAAATTTTTGTATTTGGTATAAAAAAAATAAAGATTTCACATCCATGAATTTGAATATAGTTAAATCAATTCCATGAAAAAGTATAAATTTTCTAAAAATGAATTTCACAAATTTAAATAATTTAAAGTTTTATAATAAAATTATCTATCCTCCCAACTTTTTAGAATTATTATCTCAAAAATATTTTAGAAAATAAAAGTAAATAATTTTCAATTTTGAATTAATTCTAAATATGAAAAATTCATTTATAAGGCTTCGTTTGCTTTCCGTAAAATAACTTGTAGGAAAATATTTTTCACAATTTTCTATTATTTGGAGCGTTTGGAAAAATAAGTCAACGGAAAATATTTTCTTGATCTATGAAAAATTAAGTTATTTTTTAAGAAAAATAATTTTCCATTTTCGAGAAATAGTAAAACATTTTTTAGATATTGACAAACATTATAGTCACTATCACAAGTTACTATTTACCGCCGACCATCACCGCCGACTACCACCACCTGCCATCGGCGGCTTTCATAAATGACATTTTTTTTTTTACATTCTTCTCATATTTGACAGTAAGATTTTTAAATTATCAAATTTATAGTATTATTAATATTTTTATGGTCAGATAAAGACTTTAATATTTTTAACTAATTTTTAATATTATAATCAAACAATGGAAAATAAATCATTTGAAAAATATTTTTTAGCAAGTTATTTTCCTATAAATTATTTTATAAAACAAACGGAGTATAAATAAATTTGATATTTTAAATTCTTTTATACCATACCGAGGGTAAAAGAATATCTTCAACTATAGCAAATACTAATCAGTAAAAGTGACAAACTAACGCAAGCCATAGTGACCACCCAATTTCGTTACTACCGGAATTAGGAGGTCAACATGTCTGGATAATAATGTTTCCAAAAATCGAATCCCTCCCCATAGCCGTTGCAATTCCCTGCACATGCATCGCACGTGACCTACCCCACCAAATTTGAATTCGGACCTGAAGCGCCTTTTTCTCAAATCCCATTCAATAATTTATTCACCTCCGCCCTAAACGAACCAATCCCTTCTATATTTCAAAATTCACCACCACTTCTCTCTCTCTCTCCCTCTCTGTTGCATTCAAAAACGAACAAAGCCGCAAAAAGAAAGGAAGAAAAAAAAAGAAAAATTCTGCGTCTCCTGCTCAGGTATTTCAGTTTCTGTGTTAGATCTCAGATTTCCATTTCGTTGATTAATGAAGTAGAAATGGTTGTTGCAATGATTTTACGCATCTGATTTATTTTTTTCATTGATTTTATTCCCATTTTTGCTTGGATGTGTTCTAGGGTTATCAGGTTATCGTTTCCGGTCTTTGAAACAAATCCGTGATGGACAATGCAGAGTGTGTGAGAGTTGCTGTTAATATTCGGCCTTTGATTACATCTGAGCTTCTCATCGGCTGTACAGATTGTATTACCGTCATTCCGGGAGAGCCTCAGGTATTAATAGAGTAGTTGTTCTTATAATGCTCTGTTTCTTTTGTCTAATGGAAGCTCAGATTTTATTAAGTGAACTCGAATTTTTGGATTATTTAGGTTCAAATTGGGTCACATGCGTTTACCTACGATTATGTTTATGGAAGCACGGGATCAGCTTCGTCTTCAATATATGACGATTGTGTGGCTCCTCTTGTGGATGCGATCTTTAATGGTTATAACGCCACAGTTCTTGCATATGGACAGGTTTTATATCAAATCCTGTAATTATTAGTTGTTTGTAGTTTGCATGAACTTTAAGTTTTGAGTATTTGTTGTTTGTTCAATTACAGACGGGTTCAGGAAAAACATATACAATGGGGACTAATTATAACGGTGAAGGAACCAACAGTGGAATCATTCCTAAAGTGATGGAGAATATATTTCAGAGGGTTGAGACAATTAAAGAGAACACAGAGTTTTTGATAAGAGTATCGTTCATTGAGGTAAAAAAAAAAAAAAAAAAGAAATCATCCAATTGATTTTTGCATAGTAATTATTTTAGAGCAGATTGGATTTAGCTAAGCTAATTCTTTCCTGCCAAATAGATATTCAAGGAGGAGGTATTTGATTTACTAGACCCAAACTCAGCGGCTCTGTCAAAAGCGGAAGGAGCAAATACGATGAAACCAGCAGTGCCTACCAGAGTTCCAATCCAAATTAGGGAAACAGTGAATGGTGGGATAACACTTGCTGGGGTGACTGAAGCAGAAGTTAGAACGAAGGAAGAGATGGCAACTTACTTATCGCGTGGTTCTCTGTCTCGGGCCACTGGAAGTACTAACATGAACAGCCAATCGAGGTCTATATTTCGGCATCTAATTTTTAATTAATTGTTGTCTATCTAGACTGGTGTTCATTGATTTTAATAGAAACTCTTTCATTTTTAAGTTTATTTATAATTTTAGAACATTAAACGCCATTTTCGACAAAGTATCTAAAACTAAATTTATCTTTTGTTTTCAGTCGCTCTCATGCTATTTTTACAATTACTATGGAACAAAAGAAAATTGCACATGGTACAAATGACGTCAATAGTGATGATATTGGTGATGACATATTGTGTGCAAAACTACATTTAGTAGACCTTGCTGGTTCTGAACGGGCAAAGCGAACAGGGGCTGATGGCATGCGTTTCAAAGAAGGTACTAATAATATTCTGTTTTACATTTCCAATGTAATAGTATAAGCTTTTGTTAGAAGGGTGTCTAACAACTGTTGCCTTGGCTAAATATCCTGATTCTTTAAAATCTAAGCTTTTGATTGACTTTAGCATTAGTCTATGTTATATTTTATGTATTTATGTTCCCTGTCTTACTTTAGTCGCATAATTTCAATTTATGTGTCTTAGGCATTCATATCAATAAGGGTTTGTTAGCACTTGGAAATGTTATAAGCTCCTTGGGAGATGAGAAGAAGAGGAAAGAAGGGGGCCATGTCCCATACCGTGATAGCAAGTTGACTAGATTGTTACAGGTATAGAAGTTGTTTGTTTTTATTTTCGAAGGGGATGCTGCTTGTAGTTTATTTTTTCAAATTATGTTTAACAAAGATATTAATATGCTTGGCTTAGATTGTTCTACTTGATCAATTTCTTCTGCACGCACTAAAAATTGCAGTGCTTTATGATCGATTGGCATCTTCTTGTCATTGAGAAATTGTATAGCTTTAGGGAGTTACATGTGTTGAAGTGTTAAGAATATTTTATGTTCGCCAATAAATCATGAAAATGAGGAATACGAAATATAAGATGGTGCATATGTATGTAAAAGTTAGCAAGAAGTAAGATCATGCTTGAACATTCCAAAAGTTCCCTTTCTACTTTGTTAAAATGCTTTCTTCTTACTAGTGCTAAAATTTCAAATTTTAGGATTCTCTGGGTGGAAACAGCAAAACGGTGATGATTGGTAAGCCATTTATAAACTTATTGTGTTTTAGCATTCAAAATAACTTCATTTTTTAGTGACGTACAAAGCAGTAATTATGACCTTTTATTTTTTTCATTTTTGTTATAGCATGTGTTAGTCCTGCTGACACGAATGCTGAAGAAACTTTGAACACATTAAAGTATGCAAATCGTGCCCGCAATATTCAAAATAAAGCAGTGGTAAGTTTGCTTTTGTAGCAAGTAGCGGAATTTTTTTTTTCTTCCCTTTACATTGGTTATCTTCGAATGAGTTACACGTTTATTTGATCTTAAGGTGAACCGAGATCCAATGGCAGCTCAGATTCAAAGGATGAGGAGCCAAATTGAGCAATTGCAAGCTGAACTACTCTTTTACCGTGGTGATTCAGGTGCACCATTTGATGAACTTCAGGTTTGTCTATTTATAAGAAGTAATTTATGTACTCGTATGTTTGTTGAATTGCTCAACTGATGCATATTTATCTCTTCCAGATTCTGAAGCATAAAGTATCTTTACTTGAAGCCAGTAATGCAGAACTGCAACGGGAGCTTCAGGAGCGTAGGGTTAGTTGTGAGCACTTGACACAACGTGCTATTGATGCTCAGGTTACCCCTCATGTTTATGTGTTTTAGTAGTTAATATTATGTTTTCTTTATTTATAGTTTTGGGTGTTTGAGTTGCACGTATGAAATTGGATCATGAGATTTGACACTAGTCAATTTTTGCAGGTTGAAAAAGACAAATTATTAATGCAAATTGATTCAGCTCGCAGTGGTAAATCTTGGGATGAGATTGAATCTAATTTAGATAAGGTTAGAGTTTGGGCGATACTTACTATTGTGTTATTTGCAACTTTTTGACATTCTAATCAATAGAATTCCTTGCTAACAAAGTTTTAAAAACCTTTAGGAATTTGATGTGATGAAGACTTATGTTTCAAAAATTCAAGAGCTTGAAGGAGAGTTGTTGCGTCTGAAAGCTTTGTCAAACTCAAAGGACAACAGATTTATTGATTGTTTGGATTCAGATGATGAAGGGTTCCACTCAAAAAATGCTTCATTCCCGTCTCTAAATGAGCTTTCGTCCAACTCTGATTCAAAAGCTGGGGAAATTTCGGGTAACGTTAATTTTAATTTGTTTGACATTTATAATATAGTTTCTTGCTTTATTTTATTGAATGTTCTTTTTTTTATTTGAAAAAATAAATATACTTAAGATTGCTTCTTATGTATGACTATATGCAGTGCTTTTGCTTTGTCGACTATTGCATATTTTATTTGATGTGTCAACTTCAATGGTCGCAAGTGCATCGAAACTATTGAAGCCATACATGATAATCTAGTGGTTAGGGCCCTTAGGGGCACGTAAGTAATTAGAAATTTATGCCTTTGATATTGTCTCCCAAGTTTTCGATTTTTTTTTTTTTGTATTGCTTATCATGTTAGTCAACTTAGATTTTATTTTCGTTTATGAGAGTTGAAATCTTTTGAATCATGTGCAGAGGACGAGGAAAAGGAAAAAGAGCTTGAACATTCTTCCCTTCAAGAAAAATTGGACAGGGAGCTAAAAGAATTAGATAGGAAACTTGAACAAAAGGAGGTAAACACTATAAATATTATATAATTGTTAATGATGCAAACGGTTTTTCTTGCTATTCCATTTCGGCTTTAAAAATTGTGGAGTTAGAACATATTTGTTCCCACGTAGTATTTAGGTTGTGGTTATTCTCTTACAAGCAAAAGGCACAAAAATGCATGAGATATGGGAGAAGCATTCAGGACCAAAAAAATCTCATATGATCTATTTGCAACTTGTGCAAAGTTGTTCACGAGCCATTTGATTGAATCTGAAAAAGTACTTTAGTTATTCATTTTCACCTTTGCTTGTATTTATTTCCCAATGTAGCATTTTGTTTACTGTTTTCTTATTTTCTTTTGCATCTCTTTCACTTGGTAAAGGCTGAAATGAAGCGTTTTACGGGCGTTGATACTTCAGTTCTTAAACAACATTATGAGAAGAAAGTTCATGAGTTGGAACAGGAAAAGAGAGCTTTACAGGTTTGTAATATTGTGATATTAGTTTTGATGGTCATGATTGCATATCAATCTCAATCTCTGTTTTCCGTTGGCAGAAAGAGATTGAGGAATTGAGGTATAATCTTGCAAATATATCCTCTACTTCTGATGATGGTGCTCAAAAGTTGAAGGAAGATTATCTTCAAAAGTTGACTCTGCTCGAGTCACAGGTAAATTAAAAACTGCTTATCCCTTTCAATAGAAATTGTTACAGGATTCCTGTTTTGCTTCAAATAGAAATTGGTTCAAGGTTCCTGTTTTGCTTTGCAGGTTGCGGAGTTAAAAAAGAAACAAGACGCACAAGCCCAATTGTTGAGACAAAAACAAAAGAGTGATGAGGCTGCAAAACGACTTCATGAGGAGATTCATAGAATTAAGACTCAAAAGGTGCCTTTTTATTCTATCAAGAGGGTTGTTTACAATTTGACTTGAAACTAATTTATGATCTTGATGTCAATGCAATTGCATTTCATTTAGGTTTCTCTGCAACAAAAGATCAAGCAAGAGTCTGAGCAGTTTAGGTCGTGGAAGGCATCTCGAGAAAAAGAAGTTCTTCAGGTATATATTATCAAGCATGTCGCACTATTGATTGCAATTAAGATGCACTTGTTTTTATTGTTTTTCACTTTTTTTTCTTTTTTTTTTTGGTATTGCCAGCTAAAAAAAGAGGGAAGGAGGAACGAATATGAGATGCACAAACTGTTAGCCTTGAATCAGAGGCAGAAAATGGTAAATTGTCGTGAACTTGGGCACTCAATTCCTTATAATGTTGTGTTTTAGAAATTTTTTTCATTTTTACATTCTGATTTTAGGTTCTACAAAGAAAGACAGAAGAAGCTGCTACGGCCACCAAAAGGTTAAAGGAACTTTTAGAATCTCGAAAGGCATCCTCACGTGATTCTTCAGGTGAGAAGATTTACTCTCTCATGCACTTCTTTGTTCATAATTAAATTTGCTGACGTGTTTTTATTCTATACAGGTGCTGCAAATGGCAATATTCAGGTATTTCTAACAGTAATAGTACATTAAATTGTGCATTTTCTTTGGTCCATTGATGCTTGGGAGTTATCCTCTTATTGACAATTACTTTTTATGAGAAGGCTATGATGCAAGCAATTGAGCATGAACTTGAAGTCACAGTACGAGTACATGAAGTACGTTCTGAGTATGAGCGACAAATGGAAGAGTGAGTCCCATTTACCAACCCAGCTAGATATCCATTGTCGGCTCTATAGCATTACAAGTCTATCAAAAGTTCATTTTGTGGTTGGATATGTAATTTTGTTAGCTTGCATTGAAGAATAGTGGTTTCAGTTTGAGAATTATATCTTTAAATCCATTATATTTTCTATGTTTTCTTTGTAGGTCAAATTTATAGCTTTCATTATATTCAGCTAACTCATGCATGATGTGTCTAAATCTTGAGGACGTTTTTTGCCTTTTCTTAAAGAGCCTCATTGGTGTATATTTTGGCAATAATCTTTTTCACGACTCTACATTTTTATCAGATACTTTAAATGTCAGAACATTGAGGTTGCTTAGCAATCTTTTTAATAGTTTTTGATAACATTCTGATTTCAATTAAGCGCTTCTTGTTATTTTAGGAGGGCTAGAATGGCTAAAGAAGTAGCAAGATTGAAGGAAGAAACGCAGATGCTTAAACAAACTAATTTAAGGTAAAGTTTCCTTTGTGCTAATATTACTCTGACACCAAATTTGATATTTTTTTAAGGTTTTGTTCAATACTAATTAATTGGATACTTTGCTTAATGACTTTAAATGCAGTGATCCATCAGCAATGTCTCCTGGTGCAAGGAATTCTAGGATTTTTGCACTTGAAAATATGCTCGCTACTTCTTCTAGCACCCTCGTTTCCATGGCATCACAATTGTCAGAAGCAGAAGAACGTGAACGGGGCTTCAGTGGAAGGGGGCGCTGGAATCAAATTCGCTCTTTGGCTGATGCTAAAAATATCATGAACTATCTATTTAATTTAGCATCTTCCTCCAGGTCATAATCCTGTGTGTCTTCTTTTTCTTTTCAGTTTTCAAGTCAAAAGATTTCATATAGATGTTTTATCCCTATAATTTTTATAACTAATTGATTGCTACTAATCATAACGATAAATTGTCTATATGAAATCTTTCTAATTCTTATAACAAGAAAAACATTCTATTTGTTGAATTTTGTCAACTAAGCTAACATGGATTCATTCGTGTAAGATATCATTCATGATAAATGGGGCTGAGTTTTTTTTTCTCCTCCTTGTGAAGGTGCGTGTTGAGGGATAAAGAAGTTGACTGCAGAGAAAAGGATAGTGAGATAAAAGATTTAAAGGAAAAAGTAGTTAAACTTAGTAGTTTAGTAAGACATCTTGAAGTGCAGAAGACAGAACTCATCCATCAGGTTATGTCACAGGTTTGTTCCTGCGTTTCTTGTTCTGAGATTATGCATTAGTATTTATCAAATGGAAGACGGAAGAAAAAAACTATATGACATGACAGAATTCAATGTTCTATGTTCCACTTAATGTGCTTGTGTGTGTGCAACTGTGATTGTACATGAGAAACACAAATTGTTGCTGTGGGTAAACTGAGCTGGATGCAAGTATCTTTTTGCATTTTGCCTCTTTTAAAAACAATGCAATTTCTTTTTCTCTTTTTGGTGTCCTTGAACAATATATGAGCTAGGATTTAGGTTTATATCTATGCAAGGTGTCTCTCTCTTTTATTTTAATGGGAACTCATTCATTGTAAACAATGTAGCTCCCATTTTTGTTTTTCCAACTTGTTTCCTGACCTTTAATTTGTTAGCTTTCTATTTTCTTTGATTTCTAGTTCATTAAGTATCTTATGTTTGATCACAGAATTCAGCATTGAAGAAATATTCCGTGAGAAATCAATTAGATTCTGGGATTCCTGACCTCAACAATGTACACAAGTATGAATTGCGCAAGCAGGTAAATTTTCTTATCCAACGTGAACAATTCCGAAGTGTTTATGTATATATATTAATTACTTTCTCCCTATTTTCTTATCAGTGTACATATGATTCTATTGTTGGATTAATGTTACATATCATTGCCTCCCTTTCTTTCCCTCTTTAATAGGTGCATCGTAATTCTGTCATTTTAATGGAGGATATGGACATATCTGAATCAGAACGTTCAGATGCAGACACAGCAGATGATGAATGGGTTCAGTCAGATGTGGACATGGCAGATGATGAATCTGCTCGGCCAATGAAACGGCGAGTTAAGAAAAAAATTTGCAAAAGTGGTGGAAGTTCAAGTACGGGGGAGATCAATGATCCAGAAAACTCCAAATTGGATCCTTCTAGTGAGGGAGTAGCTTTTGCCATGGAACAAACTACGCCAGTATGTTGCACCTGTAGTAGATATTCTTTATGCAAGACACAAAAGTGCCAATGTCGGGCGGCCAAGGGCATCTGTGGAACATCCTGCGGCTGTGTGCCTAGTAAATGCTCTAATAGAGAAGATAAGCTTGATGAATTGGTACAACTAGAGATGTCTGAATCTGCTGGGACCGGTTCAGGATCAGATGATACAGACAAGAAGCACGATCTTGCTTCTCATGGTGCAATGCTGCTTCAGAGTGCATTGGTTGAGAAGCCTGTTGAGACAAGCGATAATGGTGTTGTTAAAAGGAAACCTTTGTCAGATATTGGGAATACAGTGGTATGATCCTTTGATAACACTAAATACTGCGAATTAAGAGCTTCTTTTTCCTTGGGCAAATTAAGTTAAAATATCATTTTTCTGTGCTTTTACTTTTCCTGATACATTTAAAGCTTAAAATTTCTACTGGAGATTATTAATTGAATTGAACATTTCAAAACTCCTGCAGGCCAAATCCAATGCGCCAAAGCCTGAGCAGAGAAAGAAATGGCGAAAATCAAAATCCACAATTCAGTTGATTCCTGTTGCTCCCCCCACATCCACGCAATCAGAAAAAGCAGAAGTCCCTCAAAAGGTAGATAATAGTGCAGGTGAGACAGACATGCCTTTGAAGTTACCCAGAGCTATGTTATTAGCTGCATCAAACAATGCCAAGTCAGAGAACAATGTTTCGAATGAGGCAGATGTGCCTTTAAAGTTACCAAGGGCTATGCTATCAGCTGCATCAAATAGCAGTGCCCTTTTGAGAGAAAGGAATGCCGATAAATCACACGAATCAGTTAATAAAGAAGCCAATGTACATCCTACAAGAAGTCCAGCCCGGCCGCCAAGAACTTCTGAGGAGAAAGAGAACTATGGCCGTTAACTTTGATCGTATTTCCTGACATACCCGATATAATCATTTACACTTAACATCAAACATTCTTGTTCCGGTGGCTTTGTTGGAGGGGAAGTATTTGGAGCACTAAATTATGATTAATCTTGAGTTTGTAATTGATTGTGTAGGAAAAATGTGAAATTGATTTCTTTCTGGAAATCTAAGAAGACGGTTTAGTTTAGGATATGTTTTCCTAGCCTCTGGTGGTGATCTGTACACTGTTCATTGTTGTTTTTGTGCTCTGTTAATGGTATCACAGATTCATTGTTTGATCTAATTCAGATCAAGAAAACTGATTCATTATTTGTTGCGCAGCACCTTAGCATTTGAATTAATTTTAAAATATTAAAATAATATTTTATAAAAAATTAATCCATAATTATTTAATTTTTTTAATGTATTATGTAAAAAAAAATTCAAAACAATTAATTTTGATTTTGTGCAACAGACCTTTATATCACTTTTTAGATACATAATATTCTATTTATGCAGCGAATTCATCAAATAAATTATGGTCATTATGAAACCAAATGTGATTTAATGTCCCGTGGTTACTATAATCACATTATAATCGGTTGGTCCAATTGAAATCAAGAATACTTCCATTATAGAAGAATGGTAAATTACGATTTTTCACTTTAACTGTATTTTTTATTGGAATTTCACGCCCATGGATATTATGCTGTTACTTAATAACGGAGGGACGACAGTGGAATTGCAATCCGCTTATAAACCAACATAAAACTCGTCGTTTCATCAAATTACAGATCCCGAAGAAACGACATGTAATGTAATGCGGCCATTTTGCCAAACAATTGGGTCGTTTCCAAATGCCCTGTCGTTGTTAAAACATTCTAGGAAAGGAACGAGAAACATAATGCAGGCCCTTATACCCCTACAGTTAGGCCCGCTTCGACTATTTATTCTCGTGTAATGAAGAGGGAAACACCACAAAATTCAAAATTACTATAATGATCGGCGAAGAAGTCCGTTGCTAGTTTCAAAAGAGAGCCGAGAGCGG